CTTGTTCAGCGCCACGGCGACACGGCTGCTTCTTCAGCGCCGTATGGGCTTTATAACATGCAACTACATGCGATGAGGCCGCAACGCAATGCGACCCAGTCAGCAGAGAGCAAGAAGAGACGCCTGGGCAGCAATTATGTCGTAAGGTGGGCTCTGCAGTTAGCATGCGCCCACATCAGCAAGTGCTCTGTATGTTCCGTGAGATTCACATGTGAAGATCGGCTCTTTTCACCCGGTGCCGCATGCTTCAGCTCCAGCAGCACAAACGTGGCCACTAAGACTCGGGTTCTCGGGTTTGTCTTCTCCTACATCTTCCTTCTTATCTAGTCTCCTGTCTAGTGCGGGAATGTTCTGCTGCTATTGCCGCCGTTCCCCCCGCATGGAGCTTTGCATTGACATCTCGAAATGCTATATAATTAAGCCACCTCGGCTAATCCGCGGCAAACCCGAAAGCCCAAGCCCCATGGCTGTTGCAGCCACTGTCTGTGGCTGATGCCGGTGCTGTTGCTGGTGGCGTGGCTGCTGCCGCTGCTGTTGCTGGTGCTGTGGCTGGTGCCGGTGCTGTTGCTGGTGCTGTGGCTGGTGCTGTTGCTGCTGCTGTTGCTGGTGCTGTTGCTGTTGGTGCTGTGTGCTACACCCCTCGTGCGACAGCGACAGTCAGGATCCTCATATTGGCGTACTGGGCTCCCTGAAAATTAAACTGTCCTGCAGTCACCTGCGTTTGCCGCTGGCACTACTACCCCCAACTCCGGCATAGCCGCCGGAGCCTCCCTCACGGCCGCCACCGCCGCCTCTCTTGCGGCCGATCATCTGCACCTGCCAGAATGCTCCAGGGTGGTGCCGCGTAACCTGCTGTAGTTAACCGCGCCTCCAAGGCGATGTTTTTCGCCTGCTCGCTGAGCAATTCGGCCCGCGCTTCCTTTCTGTCCTGGCGCTCAAGGCTGTCAGAACTTTCACAAGAGGCTGGCAAAGGGCAGTCCTTGCGAGCCGCCTCCTGCTCGTCCTGCAAGCGCCCGGCCAAAATCCGCCGCTGCGACTGCGACTCCTGCCAGCGTCACTCAGAAAGCTTAATGGAACTAAATGTCCTGTCCGTCCTCGAGGTCGTCATTCAAGGACTTCCGCACCCCGAAGTGCCATGCATCGCGGTGCTTCACAGCTGCCGTCCATTCCTGGTCGCGGTGCTGCAGCTGCAGCTGCGTCTTCTCCTGGGAACGGGCCGTCTGTCTACTGCGATCTCGCAAATGCAGTCAGCTTCATCGGGCCTGCTGTTTCAGCAACTCGCGGCTCTTCTCCTCCTGACAACAGGGCAGTCTGTCTGGCGCCATCTTGGCAATGCAAAATTCGTCGCGCCTCCATCTTCTTGAGAGTCGCCTTGTGCTGCTCCTGAGAAAAGGGCATGCTGTCTGGCGTTACCTTGGCAGTGCGCACAATTCATCCGGCCTCGCGCTTCATGTTCTCGACTCTCTCATTGTGGAGCTGCACCGAGCTCCGCTTCGCCTCACGGCCGGCTGTTCCAGCCGCTTCGTCTGCCTGTGATGTGTGGCTCTTGCGGCAGAACCCCTCCGCAGCCATGTGAGCGTGCCTCGCCTGCTCGGCTCGCATCTCCGCGCGGCCCCAGGCTTCCTCATGGGTTGGTTTGGTCTGAAACCTTCCCTCAGGCTGCTTACTCAGCGCCTGCACATCAAGCCTGGGTTCTATGTTATATAGGCTGCTTGTTCAGCGCCTTTTGTGGGCTGCTTGCTCAGCGCCCTTCCCCTCTTCTAACAACCGGCACCCCGTCCTGCCACGCTTCTTCAGCCTCTTGCGCGCGATCCGCTGCGCGATCTGCGAGGCGTAGTCGCTGAGCAGGTGTCTTCCCTTAAATCCAAACAGTACGTTGTGCACTGGTGTTTATTGTCGAGTCGTTGTTGAAGCCAATTTGAACCAAGAGTCGGGAGCCTCTGAACTTCCTCTTCGCGGGGTTGTGCTCTCCGCTCCCCTGCCACGATCCATGGTTGTCTTTCCGCGAACGCCCCATGGCTTCGGAGCCGCTGTTGCTGCTGCTTGTGCTGTCGCTGGTGCTGTTGCTGTGCTGGTGCCGTGCTGCTGCAAGTGCTGTGGCTGGTGCCAGGTGCCGGTGCTTTTGCTGGTGCAAGTGCTGTGGCTGGTGCCCTAAGCTTCAGTCTGCCGGTTGCCGCTCTAGGCTGCTCGATGCCCTGATGATGTTCTAGGCTGTTTCTGGCCTCATGTCATGCGTGATCTTCCGGCGCACTAAGCCACAACATGCGGCCCAGAATCAATCCAAGATTCAATCAAACATGCCATCAGCAACAACAACGGCTCGCATCTGACCGTGGCCAAGCCCGGGCTCCTGGCCATTGCCGTGGCGCAGGAAGGCCGAGATCAGGCGCACGCCTTTGAACACCAACGACGAGGCAATTCTATTTCACTGGATTAGTATGAGGCCAGCAGGGCTGCTTAATCAGTGCCCTTTCAGGCTGCTTGTTCAGCGCCTTCCATCCCGTCACGAGCTTCAAGCCTGTTTCATGGGGGCTGCTTGTTCAGAGCCCTCTGAGGCTGCTTACTCAGCGCCTTCCATCCCATCATGAGCCTAAGGTCTGGAAGGCCTGTTTGGTCGGGCTGCTTGTTCAGCGCCCTCTGAGGCTGCTTGTTCAGCGCCTTCCTTCCATCCCATTACGAGCCCAAGGCCTATACGCACCTGCTCAGCGCCTCCCATCACACCATCAACTGTGAAGCATTGCTTACTGAGTCACGTGCCGCCTATTGCGCTGCGCAACACCTCAAGGCGATGACCGGTGTGGACCCACTCCACCCAAGCAGCCCTGAAGCAGACTCCAGTCGGACTGTAGTAGCTTTTATGGCTCTTCAGCACCCTCTCAAGCTGCTCGATGCTGCTCGTTCAGCTCCTTCTAGCAAATGCTAGGCCTGCTGAGGCCTCCACATGTCATCCTGGCACACTGCTTCAGGTCCTTAAGATCGTGTGGGAGGGGGGCGGGAGGAAAGCGTGGCACCGAGCTCGCTCTAGTACAGGCTGCTTATTCAGCGCCTTGGGGCTGCTTGTTCAGCGCCCACCTACTTACACTGTAGCGCAGGCTGCTTATTCAGCGCCTTGGTGTAGTCTATCACGGGCTGCTTGCTCAGCGCCCCCCCCATACCAAGATACCTTGCTCAACTCCCCGCAGAGAAGCTGCACTCAGCCGAGGACTCGCCGATTGCGGCAAGCTCTGCCAGATGCACTGGGTACTGATCCGTCTTTGCTCTTTTTGTTGTGCAGAGGGAAAACTTGCTAAGCAGGGTAACCTGGCCTGGTCACAATATCATAATGAAACCACGCATCACTAATGGATCACTAGGCCACTGGGTACCAACCCCCTAAACCCTCAAACACTAAACTATAAGCACTCAGTCCCTAAAGCCCGTGGATCACGAAGCCCTAAACCCCAAAAAACCCACACAAGCAACACTAAGTCACTAACCCAAAAAACGCAAGCCCCGAGCTTATAAGCGCATTTTCGAACCGATCTCTTAACGCCGGAGTCATTCTTGATTTGTGGTGGGTTCCATCTGTAATAAACCGTAAATGTATCGAATCCTAACCCGGAACCCTGTACCTACCGGACTGCATCAGTCCATTTGTAATAAACATAATAAACCATAGATGCATCGAAGGTCCTACGCCTATACCTACCGGACTGCATCAATCCATTTGGTATTAAAAACCCCAAGATATATTGAATGAATTAGCCTGTACTTACCGGACTGCATCAGCCCATTAGCCTATACCTACCGGACTGCATCAGCCCATTAGCCTATACTTACCGGACTGCATCAGCCCATTTGCTACGCAAACCTAAACTATCTATATTCATCCTACCGGACTGCATCAGTCCATTTGCTATTTCCGCATTTGATGTAGTTATGTACGACTTTAAGCGTTACCCCTATATAGTAGGACTGCCTGTACTCTAACCCAATCCCCACTGAAGCCGTCGATTTAGTAGTGGGGCGTTTAGGGCTTATAGGGCGTAGGCGGTGTAGTGTTTTCAACCTTATGGTTTAAAGTTTGCTCATCATGATGGCTGCCGATACATCATGCAATTCTGTGGCCGGAATCACGAGGCACCTGGGTGTCATCAGTACCTGCTGCCAAAACATGCAATTCCGTGCCCGCAATGCAATGACAAGGCGCCGGTATACCTGCGCCTGGCAGGACAATGCATCTTCGTGCTTTAAGAGTTTAAGGTCATTTAGTCTAGGAACAAAGTCGTACTTGGAAAAGGCAAAACAAAATCAAGAAACATGTGGCCGCGAACAGAACGCACCTGGGTGCGACCTGTTTTTTTTGGCTGTTTCAGCCACCAGAACCATGTTTCTGAACCGTGCCTGCACAATATAAAGATTTGTGTGGCCAGGAACAGAACGCACCTGGGTGCGACCTGTTTTTTTTGGCTGTTTCAGCCACCAGAACCATGTTTCTGAACCGTGCCTGCACAATATAAAGATTTGTGTGGCCAGGAACAGAACGCACCTGGGTGCGACCTGTTTTTTTTTGGCTGTTTCAGCCACCAAAGCCATATTTCTAAACCGTGCAGCACACACCTGGTGGCGACCTGCTATTTCTGATTAAATGATCAAAACCATGTTTCTGAACCGTGGCTGCAAAGTTTGGAGAATAATTTTGCCATGGTGCAACCAATAACTTGTTTCTGAACACTTCAAAAAAGGTGGCTGCATGTGGCTGCTCAACCAAAGCTCAGAGATTCTACTGCGAATGAAGTTGAACAATCAGGTTTCCAAATTCTATATTTCACCTTCTGCGCTCTAGTTGTCTATATGCAAAACAACGACCTAAAAAAAGACAGAAAAAGAACCGCTATAGAGAAGCCAGTAGGGGCCCATGGTTCGAAGAACTCCAAGTAAGAGAGAGAAGCGTCTCAATGCAGTCTACGCATTGAACACTTAAACTTGGATTGTCCGGAAGCGACCTCCGAAAGAGTTTGCTAAGGGGTCAGCGGCAAAGGGAAGCTATAGGGTGCTGCAGAACAACAGGACTCTTCGCTCTCTGCTCTCTCTCTTCCTGCTTTCTTCTTTCCGTTGGGGCTCTCGCTCTCCCTCTCTCTCTCTCTCTCTGTCTCTCTCTTCACTTCACTTCGCTCTACCTCTTGGTTGTACAAACCGATCGTCTTTCTGTCTTTGTTCTGTGGCCAGAGAAGCAAGCAGTCCCTACGCCTCGCGCCGGGCACGCACGACGGACGGGCTGGATACTTGTATAAGCATTCTCGCATTGTTGCGCCCTTCGAAGGCTCCGATACAGCTCCTTTCAGGCCGAGCCTCGCCAACCAGAGCGAAGGCCTCTTCAGCATTCGCTGTCGCTGCCTCTCCAGGCTCCGGCTGCACTGGCCGAGCTGTGCCTTCCTCCATTACCGCTGACATACATGTGAGCTTGGAGCTTCTGCTGATTCCGACATCTTCTGACAGCATATTAGGACCTGTTAGGGAGTCTGTGGGCAGTTAGCCTCGTCAGGGCAAGTGGATTAGGTAAATGTACTGACCCCGCTATTCGTGTCACGTGCAGTGGCACGTGGGGAAGAAACACATGAGTGACGTAATATACGAATACTCGTATGTATCTTCCCAATGTGGCGGTTAACTCTTGTACTTGTACGTAAACAAGTCGAGAGCCGAAAGGAAGCAGGCGGCAGGAAGTCTTGCGCTTTTGGCATCACTGCATGATCACGACCAATTCATGTGTTCATGATGGGTAGCTTACCGCGGGCCAGGCTAGCACTCCTACCAGAACCAGGACTGTCCATGTGTCAAATTTCGTGGACATTTTGCAGCTTTCGGAGGCTCAAAGGTGAGTACTGCGTGCAGATGCTGAGCAGCGGACTTGAACATGTCGAGCACGAGTTTTCCAGGAGTGGGCATCTTGACGAAAGGCGTTTTCAATTAGGTTTGAGGTTTGGGAATTTGTTGGGATGACTGACATGAGCTACGTAGTTCGAAGAAACCTTCGGACATGGCATGCAACAGCAACGCGGCAATCTCCTGTTCACATGTCTGGCACCGGCGCCGATCAACACCCTTATTCCAGAATCCGTCAATGACACAGCTGAGGGCGACGCAGGCCCCTGATGCACGAACCAGCAAGGAACGCGAGGACCTGGATATGCGAAAGCTAAGAGAGAATCCGAAACTCAGCTCTCTTCTTGCGAGCTGCACTTCGGGCAGAATCTGGGGATCTCCTCGTGTCCAAGCTCCGACTTCGTGACCCGCAGCCAGGTCAACGGCTGGCGAGATTCTTCCGCCGCGTCAGCAGGTACACCTGGAATGCTTGCTGGAATGATGACCCTATGGAGCAATTTGGGCGTAAACATTGGTAGCCGGTAGCCATCCGCAGGCTAAGCTTCCTGTGGGAACCGATGGCGCTTCCATCAACACCGACGAGCAACTTCGGGCATCCTGTGCATTTCCACTTCCGGATTGCAACTGGTGCTGTGCGACCCTCTGGCGGCCAACTTGCAGGTCACCGTGGCCATATTGTAGCTGCTGTGGGTCAAAACACACATCTCAAGCAAACTGGGGTCTTGCTGCGGGTACAGCTTCAAGCTTTGTTTACTTGCCTAGGGCAGGCGGGGTGGCCACGGTCCACCGATTCGCACCTCATGCACAAAGCGGCTGAACATCTTTGCATCCGACATGGTCCCAGGCTCACAGGGCCTATAAAAACCCTATAGCCCTAGATAAGGCGTTGAGGTGTGCTTCCCAGCCAAGCCTGCTGGGTGGGACCAAATCGTCTGCGAAAGCAGTGATCGGGCACGCGTGTCATCTCGCAGCCGTGCCGCCGTTGCCCAGTGGAATTAGGGAACTAGGGGCGACCCGGGCCCGTCACGTGTTGTCTGCATAGCTCTATCGAACTTCCCCCCGCCCCAATCTGAGCATCTAAAATGTGCTTCCGTGGCTGGCCCTTAGGGCTTTCGGATCTGAGGGCCTTAGGGTGCTTGACGGTCCTTCATCTGCTTCCGGGCCAGCCTCGGGAATAGCTCTTTGGCTTAGCCAGTGAGCATCAGAGAAACACTTTCACGCAGCTTAAACTGCCATGGATCCTTTCCCAAAGAGATGGCGGCATGACTTAGTATGGGTTCGGGTTGGATATTGCCTCACTGGTGGATCTGCGTCGAGCCCTGCGGAGCAGGTTTCTGCTCCTGTCTGTCCGGTGCCCTGGATCAGATGAATTGGAGCCTTCAGGACGGGACAGGCTTGCGGCTTGCAGTTGCAGGAGCTCTCGATGCAAGCGACATGCAGCGACCAAGCGGCACTTAAGCCATTGCCCTGTCGCCAATTTGGCATGTTGCGCTCTCTGGCCTCTTGGACATGCGGGCTTCAGGGTACTGCAGTTGCATGCCAAGCGGCCCAGGTTGTATGCCGAAGGACGCGAAAGCAGGCGCCGTCACCTCAAAGGGTTGGAGGTTGGAAAGTGAGTCGGACAACATACAGCTGACACAAGCAATTTGCACCTGAACGTCGTGAAGCACACACGGTTCTCGTTTGAATTTGATGTACGTGATCTGTCCGAAAAGTCACCGCGCTTCAGCTTCGACATATCGAGTCGTCGTGCAATGCAGCACGATGAACTCCACCCTGCATGGCCCGAAGACTCTCACGAACCTTGCCAGCCCAGGCGCTGCCAGGTCTCTGACCATCACAGTCGGCGGCTCTTGTGGGATGTCTGTTGCACTGTCGGCCATTGGTTTCAGCTCCTCATCATGTCTGTCAGGCGAGCTCTGTTCAAAGTCCGCAAGCCCGGAACCCGAGGGCCTAGAACCTTAGGCCTAAACGGCAGAACAGCAAACTTGAGGTGGTTCAGTGATTTCCCTTAAACAGTTCCTTTCAAGGAGTTCTAACAGGGTCCCTTTAAGGGCTCCAAGGGTTACTCTAAGGATTCCGTTCAAGGGGTCACTACACGGGCAAAATCTCGGTGTGGCCCATGGTGCATTGCGGTCCTCGGCAGCTTCGAGAGTTTCCGGCTTGCCAGTTTCGGCTGCCTTGGGCGAAGACATCCACAAGCTTGCAAAGCCGACATGCCAAGCCGAGGACATTGAGCCTGAGGTGGCTGTCCCTCATTGTCGAATCTACCCAGCAATCTCCACTCGCTCCGGTCCAGCAAAAATTTAATTTCAAGCAGTGACATACGTACATCCTTGCAGTACATCGGGACTCTCCCAATGCAAGGAGGCTGACTGCAGCTGTGGCGCTTCTGCGGGAGGCTCGGCAGGCTCCTCTCGAAGCTCCTGATTTCCCTGGTCCAAACAGCTGGTGAGGCCCCAGTGCCCTATAGAGCCTCTCCCGGAACCCGCCGGGAGCAGCTTCATACGATGCCACAAGAGAACGGATTCGCCAAGGGGACATGAGTAGGTGCTGCGTGCATACACAAAGATGGTTACTTTTTGGAGCGCCCACCCAGCAATCCGGCCTGCGAGCTCTGCTCCGGCGGAACCTCTGCGGGGGCTTCTGCAGTCTCCTGCTTGGCCTCCACCGGAGGCCCAACGGCCGAGGCCTGCCAATCTGCCACGGCATCACGGCATGGCTGCGTCTCGCCGTTCTTCCAGCCTCCCTGAACCTGTCCGCTACGACCCGCAAATGCTCTGCACCACAAGTGCATCCAAGTAGCATTTGACTCTCGCTTCCCATCCTGCCCCAGCGCGCAAGTGCCCGCCCAATGCGCAACATTAATGTCTGTACATCCCATTTAGTGTGTGCAAATGTGCGTGTGTCAGTAGCATCACACTGTAGTTATTGTATCCTCTCGTTTGTTCTTGGCTAGCTGCTGCCGCTGGCGCTGGCCCGGATCGTGATCATGATTGCCACGATGATTGAAACGATGATTAAGTGATGATTAGGACTACACTCATGGCGGCAATGATGAAGGCGATACTGGCGACGACGATGATGCCGACATTGACAACAAGAAATGTACACCATGACTTGGATGAGGATGCTACGCATGCCGGTGCTGACGATGATGGGGGCGAAGACGATGGGAGTGGTCCCCGTCCTCGGCGGATGGGATAACGGAGTCCTCCAGAGCGCTGCCCAGAATGAGTGAGCTACTACGAAATGCTCTGCCTCCATGCAAACCTGAAAAAAACACACAGCGACAACACTACATCACAAACATGCAACTCCTGCTTTACAACCACAGGTGCCTACTCACCGGCACCATGATCATCACCGATGACAAGTACCACACCCACTACAGTATTTTCCAGCTACGAGTGCTGCCATCAGCTCGGATCCATCAGGTATATGCTGCTATCATGGCCTTTGCTGCTGCAGATTCGGTTCAATTCAATGAGTAGACTTGCCATTGTGAGTTGCCTGCTACATCTGGTCTAGATAGGCCTGCTACGTCGACCAGTGCTGCCAGTCTGAAAACTACTTCTCACTCTGATCTCTGTTTGTAGTGGTAATCATCAGCTTTTCTAGCAGATGCGCAAGTACGACAGGCAGGATGCCAGAATTGTGCTTGGGGTCAAGCGAGTCTTCAAGAGCCCAGGGCCCAGAACTGTCAACTCTGGGCTTGGGCCACAACTCGCTTCTGTGATGCTCACAAGCTGTTGCGTTGGCCCCGCCGTGGTCCTTCTTGACGAGTGTCAAGGCTCTCTCCAATTCGCCGTTTTCTGCTGCTGCGATGAGCACGTTGGAGGCCTTGTGCGTGTGCGGGCAGGTGTAGACAGAACGGATGCCCGCTTGCCACAGGACTCCTAGTCGCATGTCCATGCAATTTTGATTCCAAGACCCGGAAAACTCGGAAAACTTGCAAATACTGGCCTTCATGCGGACGGCATCCTTTTGAGCCTGCCGGTATGTATTGTGAAGCGGAACTGGGCTGGACGCACTCAGGCGCAACACAAACATGTCGCCAATTCCTGCTCCAGACTGTGTATACCCTGTCGCTATGGTGTCGGAAGTAATAAGTGGTCGCTGCATGGAAGGAAAGGGTTCCTCCTGGGCTGGGGGCTGATCCCGGCCTTCTTCTTGTCCTCCTCAGTGGGCTCGTGGGGTGCAGCCTGACGAAAGAGTGAACTGTGACACTTTCATCAAACCCAGGCATGCAACGACAACTCGCGACTAACATGTGCACGGTCGCATTGCTTGCTTGTCTCTGCTGCTACGGCTACGTCTACTGCTGTTGGACTTTTTGTGCTGCTGCTGCTGCTGCTACGTCTACTACGGACTACTACGACTACTACTGCTAAAGCTTGGCTGCCCTTCGACGACCACTGCTGCAGTGTTACTGCTCGCTTGTTGCCACTGAGGAAAGGCAGGGACTGGCCTCTGCCGGAGGCTCAGAGAGACCTGGTCGCAGGCCCCGTAGCCTTGAGATGGCGGTTTTTGGATCGGTGTGGGTCTTTTTTTGTTTCGTTGCAGGGCCTTTGGGATTTGGGGTTCAGCGGTTCAGCTCGCGGTAAGAGACTGCAGATGAAGCTTCTGTCCTGGGCACTCATTGCTTCTACAGAGGCTGTGCTGCAACTGCCACCAGGAGGCGCTTGCTCCAAGGAGCCATCCTCGCTTGCCTGCAAGAAAGCATCTCGGCCCTGCTTGCGGATGGCATTCAGCTCATCATCCTGATGGACACTCAGCGGAGGTCGGGCAGATGTCTCACATGGTCTCACTAGAGATCGCAACTCAATGACTCAATCCAAAGCCTAACATCTTTAAGACTCGAATGGTTCACTCCCGCTTTTCAAGTCCTCTGTGATCTGGCAGCCGGGATCCTCCTCCACTGGCTCCTGCGTATGAGGTCATCATCGCCAGTAACAAAAAGATGAAAGGTGTCTATGGCCAGGCATATGCGCCTAGGTCAATGCCTGGGCAAGGTGACTACCAAGAAACACGAATGCGGAATCGCAAACTCTTTAGCTTTAGTCTGATGATCAACCGGCAAGATAGGGTCCAAAAGCACTTCTTTGCACTTATTGTTGGGGATCACCAGGCCCGAATAGAGTTTGGATGAGATGAAGGCAGCAGCACCGCACTCCTAAACAAGAATATCAAGACACATATAAAGTGAGTGCCCAACCGGCAGGACAAGTTAATGAACACATCTCAAACAAGATAAGAAAGAGCCTACTGTGTTTGCTGCTGTACCCCAACCTGCGGCTCTGCCGGTGCCGGCGCCGACAGCGGCTCTTTAGCTGCTTCTGCCTGAATGCCGACAGGTTTTAGCAATCCACTTCCGGAACAAGCCAAACCAGGTCCGATGGATTGAAGGTTCAAGGCCAGTGATTAGGTGCAGTTTTGTGGGTGTCCAACAGGGGTATACGAGGCACACGCAGTGACACTTGTTCTGGCTCATGTAGCATTTCGGTGTCTACGTCGCTCGAGCGTTTTGTCAGGCGGTCTTCTCCACATCCGTCGAAGCGACAGCAGCATGACCACTAAACCAGAATGACAAGGAATCAAGAAAGCCATGGACGTCTTGGGCCGGAAGAGCGTCTTCTGACAGCAAGTGGAACAACAAACATGCATTCTGGCAGGAGCTGCCTCCGCCCCGCGGAGATGGGTGCAAAGAAAGCTGGTGGGGTCAGCAGGCTGCTCCTTGAGGAGGGCCTGCCAAGAAGTGTACTGTGTGGTGCTTTGTAGGTGAGTTTCTTGGCTTGGATCTACGAGACACCTCCTCAATCGTTGGGCATCCTACACTTCGCGATTGTATTTCCCGGCCTTGACCGCTTCAGACAGTCTCACCTGAGTCGACAGGCAGGTATGTATGTCAACGTAGTATGTGTATGTGTACATATGTACTGACGTGTGTGTATGTGTATGTGGCTCGGGTCTGCATGTCTCACAGATTTCCAACTCTTCCATCTCTGGCCATTGCATCGTCTATCTGCAGCAAATATTTCTGCTGCCCTGGCCATTTCTGTACATTTTCTGCTGCCATGGCCATGTCTGTATGTCCGTATGTGTGCACGACCGAAACGAGCTATAATGTTGTTTGCTTATCGTAACACAAATTGTCTGCTGAAATGTAGCCCATGAAACATGCTCAGCGCTCCACCTCCCTCAGTAAACCTCACGCAACCGCTCGCCGGACAGCACGCGACCACAGATTGAGCCAGGCTTCTTCGATGTTATGCTTCGTCAAGTAATCTCTCGCCTGCACTTTCAGTGCCTGCAGGGTCCGGAGTCGAGCAGCTATATAGATCCTTCATAACAAATTGACGACACACCCCAAAGAGGCTGTTGTAGGGTGACATGCACCTAACGGCTGCTCGACTGGCCATTTCTCCGTCTCTACCCTCTTCCTCTTACGCCCGGGTGCGGGGCAATGTCAGTGACAGGGATGGTCAGGGACTGACAGAGTCACCGGCTGAACAAGGCTGCTCAAGACAGTAAGGTGTTAAGTCAAAAGGGGCTTCTCTGCTGGCAGTACAAGACAGGGTCTTCCATCTGGTAGGACCTTTTGTACCGCGTGTTAGAGAGGTTCTAATGTAAGACTTCATGATCTCGCATAACTTCGTTTGGCCAGGCTTTATCCCTCAGGCGCTCACGATGATTCACATTCAATTTGAGAAGCTGAGTTTCAATGGTTTACTTAGCTGATGGAGGCTTACAAGCATCGGTGGCAGTACATGGTGGCTACAACTCCTGCCTTTGCCCGTTCCTCACGATTCGCTTTGCCATCTTCCATTTTCGCCTGGACGAAGCAAAGCATCACTTCGGCAAGGTTTGCTCGAACGCAAAGACTCAGATGCTCGGACTCAGATTACTGCAAGCTCGAATGCAGTGTTTTTCCGTCGGCTGGGGCCTCCTCTCAACTTAAACGTTGGTAGAGGTGGGATAGGACTTGACCGAAGCTGCTTGTATGAGTAACTGTCTGCCACTAAACAGACACGGACAATCGATGGCTTGAAACAACGCCGAGACTTGCATGGCTTAGACCCCTGAGCCGCAGCCTCGACATTGACGCGGATTCGAGAGCCAGGCAACGAGGGATCCATGCTTGTGACAGCAACTTCCTCGGGTTCATTGAAGCTTCAGTGTATCTATAGCCGCTGGTGACATCAGTCATAATTACGCCCAATACGAGAACACTGGCCCACCATTCACCATCAACAACTGGCTCAACAACTGCTGCGATGTAAGGTGGACTGGTTCAGCTGGCACATGTTGCAGGTTGGCTATGTATGCGGACCGACAACTTGTAGTTAGGGCTAGCTGTTCCACCAACGCTTGCGACATTGCCTCCCTACAAGCCGTTCCTGCCGAGTATCATGGCTGGACTTTGTGTCCGGGTCAACTGCAACGATGCACGTGCCCACCTCAGGGGTTTCACTCTCACTGGCATTTCCTATCCATATGGAGATTTGTTTTATGTCCGTGGCTGCATCTTACTTCGTGCCCAGACGCATGCTGGTAGATGTCCACTTTGGCATTTCGCCGGCGCTCGAGTTGTGGAAAGTGATAGCAGCGATGAGGTTCGTACCTGAAAGTGATCACAGCATTGGGGCATCTATTGACCAGCTGACTGGCTTGATTAATTGCTGCTCAAGCACTTAGCTTACGCATGAAATCTAGGAGTAGGAGCAGTTGTAAGCCCTCAACTGAAAAGCCATCAATGCCGCTTCGACTGGACTGGCTCTCCCTGCCTTCCCTGCTTCAGGACGTCGCCGACCCGAACACCGATGAAACCTGGTGAGCTGCTTTGAAATGTTTCACCACAAGCTGCAATATACCGAAAAACATTTCCCTAGATGTTCGTCGCCGGGATCTGCGTATTCACATCGCATGGCATGCCATGGTTAGCCATGTACGGCTTCCAGCCGCTGGCGCCGGGTTTCCAAGCGCAGCCTGGGAGCAATTGTTCGGAAGGCTGAAGCCCTCCACCTGAGAGCGTGGAGGAGCCGACGGTTCACACTTCAGACCCTTCGCATTCGAAGCGTTCTCCATTGTCAGGGTCTTCTTGCCATCCCCAGAAGAGCGCAAGGGACGCTAATTTAGGGGAATACCCGTACTTTCAGCTGTGGCGCAGCTTCAACCTTCAACTCCATCCCGGCCGGCGGCCTTCACAGAAGGGACTGCAATGAACATGCCGCCCAATCAAAGGTGTAGCAGCACTCGGGCTGCTCTCGACCACGATCAAAAGCTCCATGTCCAAGGGTTGCAGGCCACATTCGGGGCATGTGCAAGGATCGGTAAATTGACTTTTTTGTGCGGCTGCCGGCCTGGGCTCGGAGACACAGCGCAGCCCACCGCTTTGTTTGGGCCAAGTCTGTGGGCTGCGGTAGGAAGTTTCAACGGAGCACCAAAGCCATGAGAGTGTGAACTAGCTGGTGATAGCTGGTGTATACCAGCAGCTGAAACTTAGCCCAGCATCCTGTCATTCAAATCGATTAGTTCCTGCTTTGAGTCGGATCTTGGCCTGAGTCCACGCCTACAAGCTGGCCAAGGATGCAATAGGCAAGTAAATAAACAAACTCTTATGAAACAATGCATAGGAATAAACAGGCAACGACATGAACACATGTATGTATGTATGTATGTATGTATTTATGTATGTATATGTATACATGTGTTATGCATACATTTGTACTTGGATGTGGACTTGTATTTACGGGATCGCACAGAAACACAAAGGCAAAGCTCCAGCTTCGACTGTCCAAGCCTTGTTGGCGGCATGCTCCGAGCAAGTCCGAGCCTGAGCGAGCGACCAAGCTCTCATCATCAATGACAATTCTCTCCATGCCAGGATCCTTCCCATAAAAAAGCTTTTTTCGCAAAGTTCAGTTTTGCTAGTCTCCAACTTCCCAGCCTGCCTGAACCCCGACACACGTTCAGTCTGATTCCTGCTTCCTCTTGCGTAGCGAACCATTCGATTCTTGCAAAGCAAATTCGCAGCGGCTAAGCCTAAGCTCCCTGCATTCTCCACAGCAAAAGCGCCGTTGCCCAAGATGGCTACGTTGTTGCCTTCAGCATTTCTGGGAGCTGAAGTAGTAGCAGTACGAGTAGTAGTCGTCGTCGTCGTAGTAGTAGTAGTAGTAGTAGCAGCAGCAGGAGCGGTAGCAGCAGCAGTAGCGGTAGCAGTAGCAGAGCAGTAGAAGTAGTTGTAGTAGTACAAGAATTATATAGTAGCAGCAGCAGCAGTAGCTGCAACAGTGGCATGCAAAGAATTAAACAAAACCATAAGAGAGCTCAAAGCAACTCTATCTAGAATTATAAGAACTAGGTTCCGTGCTTAGGATTCAGGCTGTTGATCTTCAAAGCCTTGATTTGATTTGCGGTTTCTGGGCTCACACTCGGACAAGCCAGGCGAGGCTGTTGGTTTGTGGTCGGTTGAGGTGAGATGATTCCAAGACTGTGCCGACCGGGTAACACAAAACAACAATTCTGCAAATACAAGCTACCGTAAGAGCGAAAGGTCCTCGGACATCGTCGAAAGGGACGACGGTTTCAGGCCTAATGAAATGATTGAGATCACCTTTACAAAGACCTGTCTGCAAACAACACGCAGAGTATGCCGAGATTATTCAGCAACTGCAGTCCAAGCATAGGCAGCGGGCACAAACACAGACACACACACACACACACACGGACCATGCAGAGAGCACCAATAATTGTAGGATTGTACAAGGAGTGTAGACTGTACAAGGGCTCTTTGTCCGAAATTCCAAACACTGTCAGCATCCTGTGGAAAGGGGCTCATGGTTTCATCAGCGAGGTATACAAATAAAACTCTGGATTGCAAGCAGGCTCCGCGAGATAACGAATATACTATGTACTCTTAGTACTCGTGTAATTTTGATATAGACTTTGTGGTAGAAGCAGCCGCAGTTGTTGGTCATGACTTATCACAGAAACAGCTTTTTCGGTTTGACTTGTTCCATCTGCTACAGTACAGTAGCAGAACGTGCAGCAATGTCAAATCCGTCTGGACGCTGTCCCAAATCAAGCCACCAAACCACTCCTGTGCAGGCTGTGCTAAATTCGGACTCCGGCAGCCGCCCACCGTACGTCGGGAAGGTGGGGGTTCCAACCCTTCGTGCGCAACTGAATTGAGCACGCTTAAAATGGGTGGTGGCAATGTAGACGGAACGGGGCTACGCAAGAGCTGCAGCAAAACTCTATACAACAACCTGCAGCTTAACAATGACCGCGGAAGCCTGGGCTACGTTGGATGCTCCCTGAGTGCGCATGCTGTCCTTTCACCTGGATACGGTCTGGATCATAGACGCATGTCTCCGTGCGGCCCGAAGCTACCATCCCAGAACCTTCTGGGACCCATGCCGAATCGTAGCCACTGCTGCTCCAAGCAGTTCTCATCGGGTCGCTTTGCGAGGTGATCTTCTTGGTCTTGCCGAGCCGCACATCCACTTCGAGAACAGTGTCCCCATATCCACGGGCTTTGTCACGGTCTGCAGAGAGGTAAACGCCTGCTCCCAACATACCGTCCTTAGACTGCTTGAACCCCTGCTTACAGATCGATGCTGCATTGCTTGATGAAGTGCCATGGTACATCGTCATTTGTTTTCCGCCGAAAGAGTGCCAGTCACGTGTGCTCCTTGTCCCTTTGCCATCGCAACGGTCGCATGTCTTGTCCACTTGGGCGCTGCTACCCATCAAGCCCCCAACTGCCGCTCCGACAGGCCCCAGAAGCATTCCACCAACCACGGCTCCAGCAACAGCACCGGATGCTCCAGCTGACCCTTTCACAGAGCCTGATCCGCTGCACTGGGTGCATGTGCACTTCGAATCATGGTTCCCCATATCGCAAACCTGCTCGGGAGCAAAGCGAGGTCAGCTGGACAGCTTGCAAGCCCAAATGCTGAATGCACACAAAGGTTTCTGCATGCTGTCAGGCTACAAGAACTTGCTCCCGTCACTCAAGCTCAAAACATCTGCCCCACCATGTAAGAGCGTCTCAAAAGCACGGCACTGTTTCCCATGCTCATTACGTGGCTCCCGTTGCTGCTGCCGAGGACAGCTCTCACAAGTATTGCCTCAATGCTATCTTGTTGCTGTGCAGCCTAAGCTGCCGATGGAAACGTGAAGTTGGATGAGAACGCACGGGCACGTGTGCCGATCAGTTCACAAGTTTGACTATTACAACCTAGCAGTTGCGAGCCTTTCCTCTGAAATTGATGCTAAGAAACATGGCAACTACGCAGAAAACGGCGCAGCTTGGTCAATCCTGCATCAACAATTCAAGCGGCATCAGCATGCCGCGCGCAACACAGTACATGCTGCGCTGGCTGCCTTTCAGCTCTTCGTACGGACAGTCGTCGTTCATGCCGTATGCAACGTGGCCTTCCATGCAGACAAGATCAGAAAACTCTGGATGTCACAACGGAACATGCCGTGATGCACAAAGACCCGCACCACCGAACTCGTCTTCCCCAGGGTAGTCGATAATTCGATTCCTGCCATCCAATGCGTGCACTGGATCAGGATTTGGCTATATACCCCACACTTTCACGGCGAGCCGGCTGGTGTGTGCTTGCTGTACCCCAAACCGGTGCCGCTCCTGGTCATGCAGCCAGGGTAGTTGTAGAGGCTTGATACACTCACCTGCCAAGTTGGATTGCGTGAACACTGGTGATGCGCCGCGTCCCTGTTTTTCACTCTTGGTTTCAACCTTCTCCGCAGCTATACAGAGGTACTAACTGGTACTATGTAAGATTCGGTGCCGGGCGGCTAATGCAAAAGAGCTCCAACATACATCCAATTTGGTCGCGTGCCGACAGTCCCTAGTCCAGGCTCCGAACCGGGATACCCAGTCCCCGATATCTCACGTCCAACATGGCCTGTTGGAGCGGGTAAAGTATTCCAAGACATCCGCAAGCGAAGCTAGCTAAAGCAGAAATGTAATGTAGGAACGTGTTTATGAAACCTGGGGCCTTGATGAAGGTTCTTTATGTGAGTTACCACTTTGGGTTTATAGGCCCGGGTTTCTTAAGCAGGTCCCTACATTATGAGCATGGAGTACTGGAGCCTCCGTGGAGTCTCCACCATCGACTGGTGCTACCGTCAGCCTGTAGTACCGATCGTGGTCCTCCCTCGGCTGTCGGAAGCAGTCCGCAAAACGTCCAAGAATTAAACAAGTTTCGTTAAAGGGATTTGCTCTTTGCAAGCAGTCGACCCAGTAAGGCATGGACTTTTCACCGACAATGTCCATTTTGGCAACGTTGGTCTTGAACCGGAAATTCGGGAGAACCTGTGTTCAATAGTCTTTGCAGCCCAGAGCTGTAACACCCTGTCAACGAAAACGCCTCGCTATACCCTGCAATCTACCATAACCCTATAACACCCTGTTTTATTATTACTACTACAATTATTCTTATTGTTTATTTACATACCCTTGTCGCTCACCCTACAGTAAGGAGCTGGGTCCCCCTGCTCCATAAGCCTCGGCCGCATGCTGGAAGTGGGCCAAGACCTCCGATACGAAAGGTTTAAATCTAGGTCTGGGAACCGGGAACTCATGGAATTTCGAGGTTGGCGCTCCCACTATTTGAGGTTCTTGTCGCAGGGTGCTCCCGCAGGAAGAGTTTGGAGTTTGTGGCGCGGGGTTTCGACTAACTGACCTCTACCCCAGAACCACCACAACCAGTTTCGGATGCCTCAATTGAAAGGGAGAGGCTAGTGAAACTTACTTCACCACGAGGAAGATGTTGAAGAGGTGTGTCTGTGTTTGCAGGCTCGAAGTTTGATGAGGTCGCCAGGGGTTTATGGTGCAGGGTGGCGAAAGGATTTTGGAGACTAGCCACTTAAGACCTTGTTAAGCTGAAGTCGATGTGACATATCGAAATATGTGACAAGATCTTGCAGTTGCGTGTCGTGATATATTCAGGCAACCGATATGTCGGACGATCCCGGCAGCGAAGCTGCCTGAGATTCACATGGCAAAATACCCGCCTCCTTCTTTTTGGGCCAGATTTCCCAGCCCTTGGGGTAAGGACCTGGCTTGCTCTTGACTCGACTCCACTGCTGTCAGCAACAGACTTTGGGCCTGAAAGCCACAAAATCAAAAAGTCTTGAGATGCTCAGGATAGCCAATAAATCAAAGGCAATCTAAGCATCTCGCACTTGTCGGTCACAAGGTCCTGCTTCATTGCAACATCAAACTGCCGGGCAAAAAGACCGCGTGGACGGCCGGCGAGGCAACTCAACTTCCGAATACGTCATGCAGGAATGTATGTCTCTCCTGGCCCCACCAGATGTGAAAGGACCTTGGCTTCGGCTCAGACGGAATGGCTACTTAGAACTCAAACTCTCGGAGTTCCGCAGCAAAACTACTCTGCACTTGGCTCGCAGCCCAAATTCAGTTTGCAATTTCGAGTGCTTGTTTGCTGCTGTGATCCAGCAGTATCCACCAACCTGTGACTTCAACAAGGACCAGCCGCAAGATCAGAAAACACGTGTGAATCCGTCGTGACCTTGTCGTTGCGATCGAAAACCACGTAGTTGTCATTCCCAGCCTTGCCCAGACAGACTGTCTTGCATGATGCACTGACCGAGCTCAGTGCTCGAAAATGTGTGTGCATTAGAGCCATGTTAAATCAGGTGAGAGAAGGTAATTCACCCTGCCTTGGTGTAGAGCATGGCAGTCTTCAACCCGTTGTAGCCGGCACCTGTTTTCGGAAGCTCCACAGTTCAAACACTCACAAGAGACAAGCATTGACCCGAATCATCGGGAAGGATTTGTCGGAAATTCGTCTCAAGAGCAGTTGCCTGCAAACCCCGGCCACGACGGAGCCCCATGACTTCGACGAATAGTAAATAGTAGACACCAGCGTATAAGCCATGCTTGCTAAGTTCAAGCTGGGAAGGACCTTAGGTACGTGCGTGGTTCTCCACCGGCCAACACGCCAGCAGTGCAAGGCCTTCTGTGTCGTTCTCAGCTTCTGTCAGAGCCGGCCTATGACGCCAGTTGGGTGTGGCCACTGATGTCTGCCGGGCCTTGGTATCAAAATGTCGCACTGTCATTGCCATTCCAGACCTCTGCGAATAGCCTGATGTCTCTCCTTCCGGGGAAATCATGTGCTGAATCTCTTGGAGAAAGTCCTGGCTCTGTTTGGGCACAGAGCGCGCCCCCAGTGTAAATGTTGCATGCAAACACGCTAAGAGTAGTGTCTCGAACCGAGGTGGAATCGTGCAGATTCAGGAGTGCAACTAGTGCAGTGTGAACCCGTTTCTATCTATGTAATGGAATAACCACGCAATGTGCAACATGGGACGAAAAACATGGGAAACAAAAACAATTGCCGCAGGAGATTGGTGGGAAAAGGGCGAGCCTGACCTGCGTGAAACGCCAGGTTCGTCCGATCGGTGTTGATTCATTGCAATACTCGGTGCTACCGATGCAGCATTTCCATGTTGCTCGGGACTTATCTGTGTGAGTCTGCACCCTCTGACCTGAGACTGTGACTAGCCATTTGTCCGAACTGCGTCTAGTTGTTTTCATTTTCATCAAAGCAGCTGGATAAAAACAAACTAATCGGTGTTTACCTAACACCTCTTTCATGCGAATGGGCGAGGTTGATCAGATTTGGATAGTGTCGGCCAGGGCAAAGAGGGGCTTGTGAGCAACCGTCTTGGTCTTGGGAGACCTCTTCCTCAGCGAAGCATCGTCGTGTCATGCGGTGTAAGAGCCCGGCCGAAAGGACTTGATGCCTTTCACTGTGACCTTGGGCTCTGCAGCAACGGGCATCTCTGGGGCTTTGGGATGGAGCTTCGTAGGAATCCTGGGAAGCATCTCGCAAAGACCGTGGCATGTCAGGTTTCTTCATTGGGCACTGAGTGAGGTTTGTAAGTCAACTTGCTTGCCAGCTGTTTCCTACGAACCCGCACATGGCCGCGGGCCATGTCCCCAAACACACACACACACAAACACACTGACACTGTGACGTTTGTTTCTTTTGCTGCCTTACCTAAGGCCTATGTAGGCCTACCCAGTAGCGCACTTTGACATGTCAACTCATACAACTGTGATGGAGTGGAGCAACAAGAGGAACCGCCGAACTTTCACCTACCTTCATCCTAAGCCGAAGTGGCAAGAGCCAATCCCGTCCACCCAACGGGTATCGTTGACGTGTACCCGGGCACTGAATGTTCCAAAGCCGCCTGCATTCATTGGCCAGGACGCAACCAACAGCCTTAAGGTTTGTTAGAGGTACAGGTACAGGATATCTCCCAGTGCACGGGCGCCTTTGTTGCCTGCAATCCCAGTTAACAGTTACGCTGTTGCGGCCCCTGCAGCATATCACTCCAGCGAACGACAGTAGATTTTCGCAGAAGACACCCCGACAAAAACACACACACACACACAGAGACAGAGACAAAGCCCTGGCCTGGAAGGCTGAACCTCAATAACCTCCAGAAAAGGTTGCCCGGTATCACTGGGTTCATGGCACAAGCCGCGACCTCCTCCGAGAGCATCTGCTTTCGTGTGCTGCATCCTGGAAGCATTGTGTTGTGTTTGCTGCCTTTTTTCACACATGTGACTACTGAGCTGTTGGCAAGTGTTTTGATGTCGTCTACTCCCTTGAGCAGTTTTACGATTCCTGGCGCTGCAGGTCGGGAAGCGGTGAGTGGGCTTCGGTTCCCAAGTCTTCTGTATTACTTGTACTGAGAGTGCTCCTGGTCAAACTTGCATCACCCGACATTCTGCCTGTGAACCTGAACCTTGCACAGCATTGCCTGCGACCTCCAACTCGACCCTTAAGCCTGCTGCCGCGACTCGCGGCTGCCTGTGAACCAGAGTCCGCATCATTGTAAGTTGCTTCTGGTAGACTGGGCTCGACATCTTCCCTTCCCGGCCTTGCTTCACCAAGAAGCTGATGCCTCGGCAGCTTCTTGACAAATCTGCTGCTGGCGTTTTGCTTTCAATGTCTCAAAAAATTATGTATGCTCTTAGAGGAGCAGCATGGAGGTGCCTTGCTGCGCATATGCCACCCGACAAATCGATGCTGTCCCATGGAAAGCCAAGCCAGCTCCCTTATTGACCTGCGTGTCCTTTTGGTTCGTTACTTTGGGCGCGGGCCGTCTGTACACTTGTCGCCGGCAATGGTTATACCGCTATGCCCGTGCGTGTCCAAGTGAATTCGCAGTTCGCTGAATTCAACGTGGCTGCTTGACGGGCAGCGAGTATCAGCCCATACTAATACTAATAATACCACTAGCATTAATACTCATGCTAACACCAATAATGCTGAGCCAAGGCCCTGAACAACTGCGCAAAACCCTAAACGTCGATGCAGGAGCTCGCGCTCGCTGGCGGCTCAGTCATCCTTGACAGTCCTTGACTCCTGTAGACTGCACGGCGGTATACTGCACTACTCTACAGCCTAACCAGCAGTTGAATCCGACATGCACGGCCAAAGACATTCCGGTGTGCGTGTAGATGAACTGTGATTTTTCCCCTTTCCTGCTCCAAAGACCGCCTGGCTGTGCGCGAGAGGAACCGGCCAGCAACGAGAATGCCCAGAATGGGCAGCCTTAGTTTCCTAAGCTACATCGTCTGCCGAATATGCTCGTGATACATCAGCGGCATCTCGGATCTTGTGGGACGAAGATTTGGGAGCACCTGGGGGATCCCTCAGCACTCAGCACTCTCTTGAATGCGACCCGGTGGCGAGCCAAGCGCCACTCTCAACCACTTAGGAAGCAGAGACGGTTGGACCTGTCATGTGGAGCATGCATGCAACAGTGCCCAACATGCTGCAACAAGCCTAGGAGACGCATTCTCACGTTGAAGCCCTTGTCTGGACAGCCGAGTCTTGCTACAACGCCTCCGGACAGCTGAAAAGCTGACTGAAGGTAACTGGAGTTCTCCATGCCGGGAATGCTGCCAAGGTGGCGGACCTCTGCGTCAGTCCACGTGTCGAAGCCATTCATCGGGACACGCCGCACCTTTCCAGTCGCCTGAAGATGGGCCACCTGGTGCAGCACGGATGTGTAGTTCCAAGTCCGACGGCTAACTGCCCCTCTCTTTCTTGTAGAGTTCCCGCAACAGCAACGCTTCCCGTTCGTTGAGCTGCTGCCCGTGCCCTGGGCTTGATTTCTCTAATACGCAAGCCAAATTCAGCAAGCCAGAGGACATAAAGACTATCCATAGCTGCTTCTACCTGCTGGCTGTCGGTTCCATGGCTTTGAAGGCTTTCGGAGAAAAGCGAGGCCTGTGGTCTCTGAGGCTACGGGTACCACAGAGTTCGGAGCGGTAGTGTCTCGAAGTAAAACCCAGTGGAACCCTGTCGGGGCCTGTCCATCACATTCGGTGGAGACTGGCGTTCGGCATCCGGTGTTGGCGAGGCGCTGGGCATCCTCGGGATTGAGATCGCAGATCGGAGGCCAAGGTGACATTCTGTCAATGCACAAACACACCGAAAAGCCCTAATGCACCGGGTGATGCCGAGTGCTTCTGAAGAGCCGTCTTGATCGGGCAATACCGGTTCCCGTAGGCGCGGTAGTATCCTGGCTGACAACCGGAGGGGAATCCCGGGCTGCCTATATCGAAGAACCTTTGCCTACAACACTTGCAACCAGCACGCAAGAACCTGGAAAATGCTTTGACCCTCGATTCGTGCCAAATTCCTTCCAGCTCTGGCTCGACACGGCATGCCACATGTCGACTTATACTTGTATGTTCTGCTTGCAAGCTCGGCTCGACTCAAAGCGGAGTCGGCAGCAATCAATCGCTCTCGGCATCGAATGCGAACCTGGCACTTGCAATAGGCCGTTAGGACTGTGTAGCCAGTAAATTCCGGATGCTTCCGTCATCTGCTTATATTATATTGCATGCTAGGCTGAACAAGTCTGGCTGGTTTCGCAGCCCAGCGATTCGCCATCAAGCAGGGAAACCCTCAAGCCGAAAGCAAGCTTCTTACTCGTGCTCTTACTCTTGCTCTTTCTCTCACTCTCACTCTCACGCTCACTCCAACTCTCACCCTCACCCTCACTCTTACTCTTACTGTTACTCTTACTCTCTCTCTCTCTCTTTCTTTCTGCAGGGCGTAGGGGTCGTCTCTCTCTCTCTCTCTCTCTCTCTCTCTCTCTCTCTCTTTCTCTCTTGCTTGCACACAGCCAAGGTAAAATGCGAACACCCTCCCCGCACGCGGGCACGCACTGGTCTTGAAGTCGATTGTGATACTTGGTTGATGGAGCGAGGCACCGGCGCGGACTCTCTCTCGCTCTCTCTCTCTCTCTCTGTCTCTTGCTTCCCTGCTTGAGACTCTCTCTCCCTCTCTCGCTCTCTCTCTCCCGTGCATAGGGGTCGATCAAGACCCCCGGGCTCCAAGCCCTTCCGCACACTCTTTGTGCGGGGGGGTGTGAGGAACGAGCATAATTCCTCCGACGACTAAGGCCTAAAGTACACGATAGCGAGTAAGGAGGAATGATACGATACGCTTATGACGACATTGTCCCCCGACTCACGGAATGCTCGTTAGCCTCAACAAATGGTATAACACTAAACGAAGTACGAGCATTCTTTCGGGACGTAGAGGACGACCATCTATGACGTTTGGGGGGGTGCAACCCCCAGTCCAGAAACCAGGAGCTTTGCCCACCCCTTGCTGGATGAAAGCAAGCAGACTTTAGATTCTTTAGACCAATTAATGCACCACAGAATTACAGGAGGGATTGCAGCGTCTAAAGTCACATGTTTGACAAACTCTTAGTATGAGCTGAATCCTTCCAAAGCGGCGACAAAGTCTGAAGATATGAAATTAAGCAACGGATCGGCTCCGCAAGGCCTGTGCCCCTTGTGTGCTAGTTGCCTTGCTGGCATCACCACATGCGGGGCACTACCGATTTTGGTTTGTATGTATGCATGCATGCCTGTATGCGTAAATGTCTGTATGTGCATGTATGGGTGTATGCATGGCACATGCATGTGTGTATGTGTGTGTGTGCGCGCGTGCGCGCGTGTGTGTGTGTGTGTGTGTGTGTGTGACTGCCTGCCTGCATGCTTGCCTGTCTGCACGTCTGTCTGATATACGTATGTATGCATGCACATATGTAAGTTTTTATTTGTATGTATATACACATACACTTCTCGTTGGCACACCATGGCTCAGTGCTGTATGTAGGATGCTCTCGCCAGTTTTTTGAACGAGGCAAGTCGTGCACGGGGCAATGCACGGCTAGAGCTTCTCCTCGCAGATGTCCAGCGGCTGCTCCAGGAATGAATCCAGTGTCTCGATCCGTGAGCGGCAGGCTTTGGATAGCGCAGAGGTCCAGCGGTTCAAGCTTCTGTTGTCCTCGTCCACACTTCTGTCTAGCAACTGGAGTTGAGCACTGACGAACAGTTATCACTTATCACAGCTAGCAAGCGTCCCTTTCATATGCTCCAGTGTTACACTAGTGCCAGACACAAGCTTGTCCTCTGCATCGAAATAGAAGAGCTGGCGCTGTCTTCCGGCTGCTGGGTTCGGATCCAGAACAAAGCCATACGGGAACTGCGCCTTGTGCTTCACAGAATCGCCCGGCGCGCCGCTGGAGCTGAAAGCCACACACATGCTCGTGTTTAGCACGGGAATTTCGCCTTTCTTGACTTCCTGCTCCTCGTCCGCAAAGTAGCTCAGTCGATCTGGGTGCAGCACGCACCACCTTCGGACCCACTTGAAATCGGCCGCAGGCCCTCTCTTGTTCAGCCACCCTTGCAGAAGGACGCCGTCATGTCGCCTTGCACGCAGCATAGAATGCAAAATGGAGTTGCGCTCTGAAGCCATGTGAGGCCAGTTCTGTGGTGCTGTGATCGTTTGCCGAGTAATGACATTCCGGGCAGCTTCGCTGATGGCCTGCGATGGTCCGCTCCGGGTAAGAAAGATCACGTAGGCATTGGCCCCAACAGGCTGCTGCGAGCTCAATCTCTCCACACAGGAGTCATCGAAGTAGTGGAAGGGTCCGGTCGTGGGACAACCAACGCGGCAGGTGGCAGTGTAGTGTCCCGACCCGTACCCCCCCAAATGATTCGCCACGCAAGTGACTCGATAGGCTGCCCCGTCTTTCTGCTCCGAAAAGCACAAGGAGGAAAGGTCAAAGAGCTCTGGAGCTCTCAGGTGAGTGTCTATCTTCTGATATAGACAGCTGTGCATATCGAACTCGAAGCGCTTCAAGTGCACAACCAGAACTGGTGGAAGCTTCCACAGGTCTATCTTCTTTGTCGCATCGACCTTTTGCTTGCACTTGGGGCAGAACCACTGCTCATCTCCGACAAGAGTCTCACGTTCAAGATACTTCTCGAGAGCCTCGCGCACGGTCGTCATCTCCCAGGTCACCTTGAGAAGCAACGGCACCGCAAAGCACAGCTATATACGCAAAAGCTCGTTGTCCTGTTGCGTCGAATTGGGGGCTTAAACTTGGGTGCGTAACATCCAAGGCGCTGGGAGGGACAGGTAAAGGAAAGCCTCGAAGCGGCGAGAGCTGTGCCCACAGCAGCTGCAGGTGACAGAGGAGCGCAGCTGCCCCTGCAACAAGTCCACCTCACATGATCATTGCTGCTAAGCATGTGGAAGCTGCTACCAGTAGCTGCTACTACGTATCCTTGTTGGAGATTGGAGCTGACTTGCAATGTAGCCCTCTTGATGCTCCCAGTGGCCAGAAACGACTTCCCCTGTTCAAGGTGTCGCATCCAGGACAAGGCCGAAGCAAATTCCTCTCCTGTCTCAGGGAAGAGATTTTACCAGTCAGTCCCGGAGCATGAATGATCGTCTGGTGCGCTGGCTCGCACGACGGTACGCCTCCCTGTGCCCAAGATTCGATGCAATATGCCATTCATTATATAACCATATATAACCTGCTGCGAAGAAGATGTGACAACAAAAGCTTGCAAGCTTTCTCCCTTGTGCTTTCAATACCGCAGTTTGATGTGTACTTAGGCCTTCTGATTGCCGTTCTGACTTCCCTGAGCCAGTTCCACCCCTCCTGACGGACAAACCGTGCGAAAGGTGAGCGAGGCGGTGAACTGTCCCAAACGGATCGGAGAGTTTGAATCAGAGGAACAATAAGCCGTTGGAACGGGGCTAGTCTTAGAATACTAGAGAAGTTGAGGACCGGGAGTCGGGAGTGCCCGGCACTCCCTTCGATGATACCAGTAGAAGGGCCTTCGGAAACAACCGTGGGACTCTGAATAATTATAGGGACTGGGGGGAATCGCTTCAAACGAGGTTGGAGAAGTGCGTGGAGGGAGCGAAGCAAGTGGTAGGCAAGGCAGGAGAAGTGCCGATAGAACCTCAGAAAATCGAACACGGAAGAAGAACAGAAGCTGGGAGTGACTCAGGGCAGCACGCCGCTCAAGTTGCATACTCCACTGGAACTTGACTCATGGAAGTAAACCGTTCGAAACTGAATCGAGAAGTTGAGTTCGACAAGGGCGGAAACCAACTCGGAAGAAATGGAACCGAAGAGACAGATGCTTGGTAAGCAACCCACGAGAAAGCGGAACAGACTTTCCGAAATTCTCTAAACGACTGCCCCAGTGTGCGCATGCGTCGACATATATGGTCTGACGGAAGGATGGACCGATGTCGAGGAGTCCTCCTGCAGCCGCCTGACGCTCGTCTTCCTGGCGGCAGGAGCTCGCAGGAAGCTGCTGAAGCAGAGATGTTTCGGGACCGTCCCTGGCTCCGGTACTCGAAGAGCACCCTACCACGCAGAGTTCTGCAGCAGCTTAAGCTGCTCTTAAGCTGCTGCACCGCTGAATCCTGTGACTCCGTCATGGCGACGATAATAAGTTGATTAGTACTATCAGAACTGTTAACGGTGCACTGCTCAATTCCCCCCCATAAGACCGGAATGCCGAGAAGCATGCCTTACCATGCATCCTGTGCCTCCTCCTCAGCCTCTGTCTGGGGCTTCGGGCGCTTTCGCACGCGGTTGAGATCCTCGTGCAGGGTATCCAGGAAGAAAGCGAGGAATTCCTGGGAGCCGCTTGACAAAGACACTGGGAAACCTCTAAACGCTAAACCATCTCCTTCCGGAGTCATGGATCCCGGGACTCCAGGACAGGACATCCCCAAACGACTGACTGAAGCTGCAACATAAAGTGCTTCTGGCCCTGATCCCTGACCCAAGATTCCTGCACATCCTGCTGCTGGTAATCCTCGAAAAGGTGGGGGGCCAACTTCATCAGCGTCTGGTGCAGGGAATGCGGGTTGATTGCTGACCTCGCGCAGTTTCATCCTATAAAGGGATGACGTGACCGATGCACACTCTGCATGCCATGCGCATGCCATCTACAGACCTGACCATGTCCTTGGGAGTTACCACTCGGACTCGGACTATCACTTACTGCTACACGACATACGAGTACGAAGTATCTCATTGGCTCGGGCTCCGATAAGATGCAGAGGTAGCGGCGCCGAGTTCGGATTCCACATGGCGTCCTGCAGCTCGGCGAAAGCATCAAGAAGTTGTCCTTGGGAGCCTCGGTCGCTGCCTCGGCTTTGCTTCGACTCGCACTGTCACTTCGAGTCGGTACAGTTACATGACCCCAGTGTATTCATATGACCTTAGCTTGGATATATTAGGATTAACCCATCTGTTGGAATTCAAGAGCACCTGCGTTCGAGATCCAAACCCTGCAGGAGCCACTGCAACGATAGAGTTCTGTCAAACGCTCGCGCTGATGCTTCTGACTCTGTGCTGACCGGATGCTCCGATTGACCTCATCGGCTGCCTCACCGGAGAGGATATACCTTGCAGCAGCATTCAGGCAGTGGCTTCCGCCTTGGGTCTCGTGGCGACACGGGTTCCTAAGATGATTAAGGCTCCTACTTTCTCGATCGGCCAATATTCTAGTCCATGCTATTCCGCTGCGCTCTGCAAGGAGACCAGGGGCCGCAAAGGGCGGACAACAAAAAGAGGTTGACGTTATATAACTTGTCAACTATATGTAAAGACACATCACATAGCATCATGTCAACATTTTTCGACACGCAAATGATGCTCATTGCGTCTGCAGGTGCCGGCTCAAAGGCTTCAGATGGCAGAGGCACTGCAGCCCCGCATTCATGAAGCAAGTGTTGCCAAGGTTTCTCCTGGGATTCTCGGTTCAAGACGCCGGCGCAGCAGGTAACCGCCAAGATGGGCAGAAGGTGCTTAAAAGATATGACAAGCATTCTGAACAAAGGAGCCCAAGGTTCAGGCCGAGAACTCCCTTCAAGGCCGGGCGAGGCTGCCGGCTGCCGAAGAGGAACTCCAGCATCTGGTAGCCTCGGAAAGGGAGAAACATCACAAGGGTGATGACAGTTCTTGAAGAGGGCCCTCAAAGATGCATATACTTATAATATTATAATATATATATATATATACACATACAGTCTGGATCCTTTACCTGCCAAGAAACAGCGGGTCGATTCTGTTTGCGCCAGCACCGATCCCACCAGCGCCGACAGCTCCAGGCGACTCGTGTGACTTCCAGAGACGACGTCCATGTCACGAAGCGGTGGCAGTGACCATGCAAAGCCCTCAACGTTCAACTAAGCGTCTAAGCCTTGTGCAAGCTTTTGTGTAAGTGCAAGTTCTGCATCTCAAGAATGATATTTCTTGTTCTGGGTGTTCCCCTACCACCAGTGGTACCGATACCGCATCGTCTGAGTCGGGATGTTGGACTAAAAGAGCCGCTCATGAATCTCCGAAAACAACGATTGTAGCACATTACAGTGCATTGCAGGACCATTAGCCCGAATGTGTAGGCCTCCGCGTCTGGAGTGTGCCCGACGACAATGCGGCTGACATTAGCCACTTCCTGCATGGCCCGAATTACCTGGGCATTACTTCGCTCAAGGCCTTCCGTCAGTTGTCATGTGCAGAAACTGAAGGGATGCAAATGTTCAACCTGTGGATAACTGAACAGTCTCAGTCAGTTTCAGCTCTCCTTGGCTCAGGAAGCTCTTGCTTGAAAGAAGGGTGCACCAGTGCGCGCTGCGTAGCAGCTGCGCTCCTCTGAGGTCCTCGCAGCATCGACCTCCCCGCAGCCCCTTGGGTCATCCGCATGGAAGCCACGGTAAGTCGTAGCCTGGCTCTTCGCAGTTCTTCCCATGTCTTATTTATTCAGCATGGTGTGTTGCGCTGCTGTGCGGCGTCAAACGGTGATGCAATGAGCCCCAAGAGGGTGCTGCCTGTTGAAGGAGCTCCAAGTCAGGACCTCCGCAGGAGCGGCCCCGGTCAATGATGCCCAGCTACGGACCCCTGCTCGTTCTGTTCACGGCAAGGCGGGTGTGGAGGTGGCGGGGCATGTGACATGAACCTACCCTCCTGACATTTCCTGACACCGAATAAACTATCAAAATCAACCAGGTCAGGACGCGCAAGAGTGAGAAGGCCGCAGCTGGAAGCTGAGTCAACATGCTCCAGTCTTTGACCGCGCCTCCCCGCTGCAAGAGGTGGTGCCGGTGGCTGTGCAGATATCCTTGACATTCAGGTGGGCTGTGGGGCCGCAGGTGGTAGCACATGCAGTTACAAGCGTGCGACATTCCGGCTTCCGAGTGAACCAGTGCCTGGTGCTAGAGGTACCAGCTCCGAGGCGTCCCGGACGGGCATCAAGCCGCCGTGGACGAAAAGTGCTCCTGCATGGGAGGGAAAAATGTCCACGCAGAAAAACTCAGCGAGCTCCCTGAAAGCTGCTGTTGCTGGAAAAGGGCAGTACCTGCTTGAGGATCTACAGTGTGCACCAGACCGATGTCATCTCGCGCCATGGCCTGCTACGACCGCCATCGCAGGGCGCTCCAGGAGCCACTCTGCCAAGCCGGAGCTGTGAAGTCCTGACAGGTGGGGGGCTCTTTGCACGGGTTCTAGCTCTTGTTGCAGCTAGTCGAAATTCTGACTACTCATGAAAGCCATCGAGGGGCACATACAGGTCACGACTCATTTGTGTTTCTTAATATATGGGTGTGCCCTCGAGTCGTCGGTGCGTTCAACTCACGCAACTTTTCAACTCTCGACTCTCTCGACAAAGAAGCCGCGTCCAACTTTCACACAGCAATGCCGAAACCTTTCTCGCGTGCCGTCCACTTCCCCCACCTTGAACCCACAAACTGTTTGCCACTTGGTTTGATTCACGACTCGCCTAACTAAGAAGCGAATCGAAGGCCTTCAGCAAGGTGCTTCTGCCACTGGCTGAGGCGCTGGGTGGTGCGCTGGCGCAGCATGTCGTTACCGACAAAAGGGGGCCAGCCCTGAGAACCGACAAGGGAAACGAGTTCATATTGTGCAGAAAAGTCTGGGAGGGATTTGCCGAGGCTTCAACTCTTGTCCAACCATCTTAACTTTCAGCAAATCTACCGACTGGGCGTGGTAGCGAGTTCTGACTTCGGAAATGCTGCGAAGCGAAGTAAATGCTGGCGAAAGAACACCTAGCTGGCTCCGTGACATGCGCAAAGCTAGCAACATGCAGCCGCTTCAATCCTCGTGAGGCAGGCCACACAGTCTACCAAACGAGAACCAAGGGTCGAAAAGGCTTCTTTGTCCGGGCCCCTCGACCATCATCACCTGCCCGGCTGTTTGAGTTTCCAAACCCGCTTCCAATGGCGGGACAACATCTAGGAGGCCCGACCTCGCGAGACTTGAAAGGATGCCACCATCTTGCAGTAGAAGAAAGCCCTCTTAAGCCGAAACCCTCTTTTCCATCTCAGAACCGACCTGCTGCTCGACTCTCATCTGGTAGACATGCTGCAAGGCCAGAAGCAGGTTTGGCAGGATCTCCGACGTGTCCTCCGCCTAGCAGCAAACCCTGACCAAACATCTCTGGACGAAACGAGGAGAACATAGGAGAACACTAGGAGTTGTAGTCTGGCCCAGCTCGCCTATCGAGTGGCTTCAGCGCTTTAAGATACACTGCATGTGCATCCAGAGCTTTCGCGAACCCACACCTGCACGGCGCTCTCCGGTACCCAGTTCAGATACTCTTCCTGAGTCGAAGGCCATGTCGACAGCTCGGTGTGCAGTTCAGCCGCGGCTCAGTCAACAGCTGGACCAGGGCTTTTGCTTCCTTCTCTCTAACAGCCACCGGCACTGAGACATGTTGAGATATTTGGGAGCTAGGCCAGCTAGGCTCGCACCAAACACGATTCCACGCCAACCCTGTCGTAGATGCCCAAACATCTGACGGAAAGTCGATTCTAGGAGCCCAAACAAACACGAAAGGTTGAGCTGGCAGCTTGTCACCAAGTATCTGGGTGAAGAAATGAAAACGTAAAGTCTCGCACCGGCACGCCCATCAGATTAGTAGCACCATCTGGCAGGACCGAGTCTGCGAGGAAGTACAAGTCGTGATTTCCTGGAATTGAATAGAAGACAACTTGAGGATCGCATCTTGCATGCATGAAGCTGTGTGGACAAAGCTAAACCTCGCCCAGTCTATGGCCGTTAGCTCGTTTCGGCAAAAGCCTGAATCCCGAAGCCAGTGCAACAACATCCTCCCACACTGCCAAGGGGCCAATAAGTGCCAGAACATTTCTGGGAAAGCTCCAAGTGAGGTTACGCACGAAAGTGAGCACCTGAAGGCCCTCAGGGCCCCGGTCCACCTGCCCAATCATGCAAGGAATCGTGTTCAACCTCTTCAAGGATCGACCAACAAGTCCAAGGCACATAGTCGCCCATGAAAATCAGCGCAGTACGCTCTCTGCCCTTCCACATCCACGAGTCCAGATCTACCAAGCCGGTCCTGAGTCGGAGTGCACTCAGCTCGGGTAAGGTTCAAGTTAGGTCAGCGTGGTCCACATCAAAGGCGGCAGATATGTGCAATCTACATACCGGAAAGCAGCTTAGGACCGGAAGTACTCCGGCGACCGTTGTGCACAAGACTTCAAGTACATCCGAACACTGCGCACACCCCAACTACTAAAAGGCCTTCTCACCCACTGTTCAGCACACTGGATATCACCATGGAGGTCGCCGATGATCCAGGCCTCCTGCACGGAGAGGCGCCCCGTGTCAATGTCCAGTGCTTCATTGCTAGGAGTTGAATTTTTGCAAGGCAACCCGAGAGTTCCGGACAAGTATTGCTGGCCCGGTCCCTTCAATTGTGGGGGTGCAGCAAACAATGCACGCTTTGGGAACAAGTCATGGCTTGTTTTATACTAACAGGAGTGCAGGGAGCGGTCCCGGACACATAGTCCTCTACAAATGCCCCCCCTTGCCAGTCTTGCCAAAATCCTTCAACATGGCTAAGCCTGCCTTCGAGAAAACCCTGCGAGTAGCTGAATTCCTTCACTGCAATCAACTGAACTGAACAGGCATCCGCACTTCCGGCTACTCGGTACTCAGTACGCAAGCCCGAGCCGAGCCAGCTGACTCAAACACTGGAGCTGATGAGTGCTTGATGATCGATCTATGCGAGCTTGAGCTCAGTTGCTCCGGCGCGAGCCCCTGCCACTTTCTGATGAACTTGCCACGTCACACAACACCAGCAACCGACGACCCGAAGCTTTCGCTGCGATTGGGAATCGAGGGCCTCGATGTCTTCGAAGCCCGGCGGGGTGAAATGGCTCGCCCTCAGGCAAAGGACCAAAGGATACGCGAAGCTTTCCGCATGTTCGTTGAAAACAGCCTGCCGGGTCCCAGGTTTTGGGGGGCCCTTCGTTGTTGAACTTGTGGTTTAACTTTGCGCAGGACTGTCGGAACCCTTGAAGCCCTTGTGTTCTGTCCGCGAACGCGGAGACGTGGAACGTGAGTTCTGAGCTTCACCACCCCGTGTGACCGCAGTACCCTTTGCCTGGCAGTGAAGAGGACCAGGAAAAGAAGCCTTGGCATGCAAGTATGCTTCAAGTTGCGGAGTCACGCCAAAGTGGTTTGACTGTGGCGTGTGGCTCATATACCAAAAGTTGTGGGCGGCAACGCAAGCTCAGCACTCGCAGGAAGCATCTTCAGAAGTCTGTAGTTTTGTTTCAGAAGTCTGTAGTTTTGTTATCAGCAGAGGAAAGTACCTTGCAAGCCCTACCGGTACATTCCGTTCAGGCTACTCTTCTGCCCTAGTAGCTACGGTGACGGCGTGATGAGTACTTCGGCTCACGGGGCGAAACGAGGCCGAAGCTTAGCACAGGTACTGGTGCCGGGCGCATGAGCCCAAGCACACGAGCCCAAAAACGGATCACTTGTGCAAACTATGTACAAAGCTGTAGCCACGTTACAGCCCACTCCGCCACCGCTGCCCAGAGCTGGAACCGGGCTCGGGCTGCCCTCTCATGGCTGGGAACAGAGCTGGGCGGAGCTTCTGTCAGGAAGTTGAGATTGGGGCCTGGGGTCAAATTCAAGGTTGCCGATCTGGTCTTCGAAAGCTGTGTCTCTCATAATATGCAACGCGCTCTTCCGCTATAAGCCAATGCTGCGAGTGAACCTTCGCATGGTACTTGGATCAGCGCCGTCCTCCGAAGCAAGGCCACAACCCGAAGATCTCCAATTGAGCGCTGCATGTTGCAAAACGTTCGATGTTGCAAAAGTCTAGCAGCCGAGCACTGCTCCGGGCAAGTGACAAAACGACAAAGGTCTCAGTCGCCAGAGCATCATCAAGGATGACATGTCCCTTCGGCTCACTTCCAAGCCTTTGGGATTGCATCCGTCTCTATGGCATTTATTTCAACTTAGTCGGTGCCCTAACGAAGCACAAAGCTTACTCGCTGAACTCAAGGAAAAAACCTCGCAACATCCTTGCAAAGCCTGTCAACATATCTCAAGACTCAACACCGACACAACTGCACTTGCACACATCGTCCAGGCAATTGTCTATCGTAGCTGCCTGCTTCAGACAGCACCGAGTCAAGTACTCTCTGGATCGAGGCCCAATGCTCGTGCCAATGCATCTCTCACCTGAGCTCATTTAACACTCCAAGCTCTTTCGTAAATATGGCAAGGTTGTGTACTGGACTTGTGCTCACCACAAGGACAACATTTGACTCCCCTCCGGCTGACGGTAATTGTCAGGTGACTCCATCTCGTGGAGTTGCCCTCATGAAGGCGGAACGTTCAACCGTGCCGGTCATGCCCTCACTTCAATCAGCTCAGAGGGTTCTCGACGTGCAAACTGTGCACGATGCTATGTATGTACACACGGCAACTGACTGAAAAGAACTCTCCAACGTTGAAACTTCAAGCATCCGTGCTGCAGAAGTCTTTGCAGACGGTGAGTGCAACTCAAGAGTAGGGCCATGGTGACCATGCACAGCCGCTAGGTGAGCTGCAAAGATATTTGCGGTCAGTAACTGATAGAACGTGCTTCCCATGCTTCGCGGATTTCAGGAGAAACAAAGAAGCCTTTAGGACATCGGAGGAAATGACCGCTTCCTAACTAACTAAAGCAGCTACAAAACTCTACAAATGCTATGCGGTGCTTTGCAGAATGACTCGGGACCCCGTATACTGCACTTTGACAAGTCGCGTCGACGACCTTCGTGCAGGTCTGGACCGGCAGGGTGATCTCCTCGTCTCGACCTTTGAAGGTCGTTTGAAATTCGGCAAAAGATATTAAAAACAATAAGGCTCAACCGGAGAAGTCCCCGGCATCCCTACAGGAAGCACCGGTGAACCGCCACACTGGGAACCGGAAAGCTCTCCAGATCCGACAAACTCCCACCTTGTACAGTGCGAGTAAGTTGCGACAGCAACGTGAAGTACGGGATGTACGGGTGACTACGGCGACTAGTGATATTTTAGATCGTCAGAGACTGCCACGGGCTCGGGGCACGGGAACGGGGGTGCAGAAAAACTGAGCGAAGGCTGGGGCCAGGGCCGAAGACCTTCCTTGGATCAAATGCAGATCATCACATGTTACATGGGGGGCATGGCTTCGACATGGCATGGCATGGCTTTTTCAGTCCTCGAAAACACCCCCAGGTTTCATCCATATTGAGCCATATTGGAAACTGCAACCTCGAAGGACTCGAAGGGCAAGGACAGTACTCTCGACAACAGCCGAGCTTCATGGCGATCATCCTGAAGGTGGTGCTGTACTGTCTGCCCTGGGGCATTGCACCTCAAAGCGGAGCAGCGGAGAGCAGCGGAGCAGCTTCAGGAAACTCTACGCAAATGAGGTGTCCCCTGCAAGCCGGCCTGGCCGTACGTTCTGCCACTCTGGATGGAAGACGTGCAGTCCTTGGTCCGGCAAGCAGCAGTGGTCTTTCACCCAGAAAGCTTCAAGCTTAGGCCAATGCCCAGATTCGCCATGACGGCCATTCTCTCCAGGGCCTGCTCCGGCACCGACGTCAAGTCGCCAACATGAACTGCAGCTCCGCCTCCTTCCGGTGCTCCCGGAGTGTGATTCCCGGCGAGGCACTCCGCTGCCGCGAGGACACTGCGAAGGGCAACAAAAGGGCAACAAAAATGAAATAAATTCAGCTGGATTCTCGTTCGGCACACTATTATGATTCATTGACCAGACTGCTGGCACATGCAGAAATCTCTCCGATCAAGCCGAAGAACCGAACTGGGCAGTACTTGTCGCCTTTTGTCACTTTTGTCGCCGCTGGCCACAATGAGCTTCCATCTACATCCCCGACGCGGGTTTCGCGTCAGAGTCGACCCTTGGCAGCATCTTTTGAGTCTGACCTGGACCAGAAGCTCTCAAACGGCCCGAACAGGCCAGACATGGGATCTTCTTCTCGACTTTGTACCAGTATTGATACAAACGAAACCAGTGAACAAACACGTCAGGATGCAAACTGCATATCAGTACAGTAGAAAGAAATACAGCTATTCAAGATTCAAGACTGGGATCAGCTTCACCCTGGCTCAGGTGAAGCTGTACTGGGATCTAAGTGACATCTGCCCGCGTGGATGCGGATCGGTCGCCTCGGCAACAAGTTGTGTAGTTCCTTTGCATGTGTTGCCTTTAATCCCAGCCCGCCTGCCCCTACAAAACGCAGGCAGCATGAACACCTCGCTTGACACTCCGTAGACTCCGTAGACCCTACTCAATTTCGAAAGGACAGAAGCTGAGACAATGACCGCCCCTGGCAGGAGTGCCTGGCAGATTTAAATGCTTTTGCTTCCGGCAACAGCTCCAGCAACACGAACCAAAAGCCCCGAACACTGAAAGCCATGAACATACTTAACATACATCGCAGCCAAAGCCCGCAGCGCCAGAAGCACCACAAGGGCGAAAACATCAAAAAGATAACCCAATTGAGTTCACGCATTGGGGCTACAACGCCTGTGGAAGTAGCACGAACAAAGAACGAACGGCGCTACAACGCATGTGGAAGTAGCAGAAACAAAGGTATAGTAGTGTGCTCGGGTGCCGCCAGCAGCTCTCGCAGCAGCAAAGAAGCAACTAAGAAGCACTAGGAGGACACAGAAGCCCGTCCGCAGCCTGCTGAAAATGCTGCACATTCTGCTTGCAGATAGGACACCTGTGGCAGGGGTTTGAGGAGCTGTCCGACGTACAAGCCATGATGCGAGATTGACAACGCATACGCACAAGTACAGTTGCGAAACATACGTAATATTACATACACGCGTACATATGCAGACTCATACATATGCACACACACATTCCGTTCTTACACACTCACATCTATATACATATATACATACGTCTACGGAAAGCATACATACATACATGCAGACATACCTACATGCATACATATCTCCATTCATGCATACATACATTCATAACCACACATATTTACAGCATACATGCATAGATGCCAGTCCTTCATACGTATACCATGTATGTCCAGTCTGTCCGTCCTGTCTGGGCTGTTTTTGGTCCACATGTCTGTCAATCTGTCTTTCTGTCTGTCTCTGTATGGATGCGGGTATGCCATGCAGATGGCAGGTGCATGATGCCCGGCCTGGTATCTGGATGAAGCACGCCCTCCTTCAAATCACTCGCGGCACCAAATAATACAGCTGAGCACGTCCCAGCTGCGAAGGATAACTTCCCCTGATTGTAATCAGTCCTAGTGGCAGTTCTTAACCCTTGAACAATCAGCCACAGCACACTGTCCAGAGTGCAGGCAAGCTTCTGCCACTTGATAGCGCTGACTGCACCAGAAGCATACCTTCGGTGCATCCGATGAGGATTTGCTTGGTGAACAACTCTGATTGGAGTCCCTGCCCGCGACGAGCTAAAAGACATCGAAAGATCACCCCTTCCCCCCATCGCCATGGTGCCAGAAGATGACCACAAGGTATGCAAACCGTGTCGGCCGGGGCCTATCAGAACAAAGATGCGTGGTCCATGCCCCTGTAGAGGCGGAGCTTCACTTCTGGAGTCTGCTGCTGCTCTAAGCGGAGGAGAGCCTGCCGGCAAACAATGCAGGGCCCGGTGGAAGGCTGCCGAGGCCCAGCCTCAGCGCCACATGACACGCCTCAACTCACAGAGTTCCCAGGCAAGTAATTCAGCAATTAGCAGCACTATCGATGGTGATCAGGCAGCGGGAGGTGAGCAGCGGACTTCGAACTCGATTTTTCTCCAGAGCGGGCATGGTGGTTGATAAAAATCTGAGCCCAAGCAACATAAGCTTTTTGTAGGCTTTTGTTTTGAGGCGTGGGTAGTGTTCCCGAACTGCAAGAGCGGTTGGGCACCGTGGTGACAGGTGTCAGCTAGTCATGTCAGAACGTCCGTTCTTGTGTTAGTTGCTTCAGTGTGTTTGGTGTAGCTGCCGGTCAGCCCTACACCAAGCCTCTCCACACATTTTGAACCTCGACTCAAGACTGAAGCACAGCCCTCAATGCGGCCGGAACTCTGAGCGAGTGCTGAAGACGTCCGAGCTCATCTCAGGGACCTGCATTGGCTCTCTGATTCATGCAACTGCCCTCTTTCCAAGACGTGCTTTCGCACGATGCACAATCCTGTCCATGCTTAGCCAGGAACCACGAGGCTTCGACGAGTACCCGTCGATGCAAAGGAACCAAACTGTCGCGGAGATAGTGTCTTTCTTGGGCCGGGGAGCGAACCGACTGCCAGCATCAGTTGAATGCTCCGCAATCGAAAGTCGATCAACATGGGGAAACCACACTTTACCGTGCAATACGGAAAAGCACACACAGGCAGAAGATACACAAATAGATATCCGTCCAGACAGATAGATAGAGAGCTGCGACGCATAGGTAGGTAGAGAAGAAGATGGAACAAGCAGAGATGGATAGATTGGTAGATAGATAGAAAGCTATGTAGTGATGTAGAGAAAGAAAGAACGAACGAAATGAGAAATGACGACGAGAAACCGCCAAACAGGCAAACAAACAAATGAATGAATGGATAGATGATGGATAGACTGACAGGCAGATCGACAGATAGTTGGGTAGATGGATAGATAGAAAAGGGCACTTGATGCTTGTCACCGACAGTAGTTCTCCTACGTCCCGTGCACAAGCACGACAGCTCCGAGAATCTGTAGATAGAGTTCCCTCCAAGTCTTGTGTGCAACGGTCCTGCGGCTCATTGCTTCGCTTGAAGCAGCACGTGCAAGCAGAGTTCCTGGAGGGAGGCTTCTGTAGGAAGGGCCACTTAAGTGGCCGAATCCAAACCGAGTTTACCGGCACAGCAGGGACACTCCCGATTGCTTGGGGTTTCGATGTGACAATTTATGCCCGGGACCGGGGCTCCACATCAGGAAGCTCCCGGGCCGAAGATGCTTTCTCCTCTGTGACCTTGACCTATTGCTTCGCAATGTCAGAAATTTTAAAGGACCTCGCACCTCAAAACCTGCACGAGCCCTGCAACAGGACATACTAGAGCAAAAGACGACTCAGCTACTTGCTAGGCTTGGGCGCGCTGAGGCCTACTTCGCTGTCTTCAGCCGAGGATCACGGGCCCCTGACCCATGGCCCATATGGCCCATGCCCGACTCAAGTCCACGGTCTTCTGTGTGGTGGAGAGTGGAGAGTGGTTCTTTACGTCTCAACAAGCTGGTCTACGGCTCCAGCAGAGTCTCAACTCAAGGGTTGGCCCAAACTTCCGACTGGAACTTCCTCTTGTGACGTGCGTGTCGTGCATGCTTGTTTGTGTGCCCCATCGGCTACGGGGAGTTGGAGAGCTTCAGCTCAGAAATTCGTGGAGGAAGGTGGTCTGGGGCGCATTCAGACCCTGATGCGGCGCAACTTTGGCTGCGGAGCTCGCCGTCAATGCGGGTCTTCTTGAGCAGGTATCATAGAGGGCGCGCGGCAAGCCCGTTGTGGCAACGAGCGGCAAAAGGGCAAAAGCTGTAAGCGCCGGAAGCTGAGAACTCAGCAGATTTTGCCTCCTTCTAAGAACATCTGACAGGCTTTTGACCATGCATGCGACGTGGCCATGCAGAAGTCGACAGCGCACAGAGGCATGTACCGGCCGAGCAACCTCATCAAGCTAGCTGTTCGCAACCATATGTGTTCATCTGTGGCGGATGGAGCGGACCTGCGAGCGCCATGACCTCGGGCAGTTGCTGATTTCTGCTTTCACATGTGGGCTGAAAAGTTACTTACCGGGGTGCAACTCTCACAGAGAGCTCCCTCCGACTAGTGACTTGGGTGCGCGCCGGAGCCTGGCGGAGATGCTTGGAAGAGCACTACGGAGCAATAACAAATGTTGCCTCGCTACGGTGATGCAATGATAAGTGCATGGTCTCTAGCTGGGCTGATTACCGGCTCGCTCGAAGTATGCCGGAAGCAAAGGCACACACTGCGTGCTGCATGCCCCCACTTCTTGCAAAGACCGTCCAGCAGATTCTGGAACAAAGGCTTTGCTACGTCCCTGCGTGAGCCCAGCTGCAGAACAACACGAACTCGACATGCATGAACACTGTGGCTGGGCCTGGCCCAAGGCAATCACTGGAACAGAGCTTGGAGAAAATTGTATGGTCAGGCATGTGCGGTTAAGCGAGCCGCCATTTTGTGAAACACCGCTTAACGGTATAGGTATGGTCCTGGTCTGTCATGGAGCTGCATTTAATTTTGACAGGTGGCCGGCCGGTGGCAGCAGAGCAAAGTGTCCGGTACAATGCATGGGCCGTTTCAATATCAGCACATGCAAATCAGAAAACAGGTTTTGCGTCATCCTGCTGACGAGATGTGCTCTGCAGCCAAGATTGAAAACAGTGTACAGTGGGAACTCAGCCGACAGCCAGCCACCGCCCCAGCACCACATCTTGTGCACTTTTGCAGGTATTCTGCGCAAGTGCCACTAAAATCGGACCATCGCTCAGCCTGTTCAGCCTTCTGCCTGGCTACCAAAACTATATGCAGCACACGGTTAGGCTTCTCGTTAATGTGAGGGGCTGATTATTGGACGATTATTGTGGGGTCCCCCACCACTGCAATGTTTGACCATTTTATTCAGGCCGTTCCATTTGATGTGCTGTCCCCCAATAATGAGAAGCTTTCCTCTCCCAAATGTTTTGTTGGAAGCCGGGCTCCCGAATCCACGGAAAGGATTCAAGGGCCCAATTGCAAGGCTGTTGGACAAGGCCAGGCTCTTTGGATGGAATTGAAGCCTGGAGGCTAGGGTTCCTTACGAAATCGCTTATGCGGGCACGCCAGGCCATCAATTCTCCAAGGCTGCAGAGTTGACTTTGGCATATCCAAGCATGCTAAGTTCCGCGGGCCGGCCCGGGCGATATCTGCACAACTCCTAGGCTTCGTCCGCCAGGCCGGGGCGTAGTGCAGGCATCCGCCGGCCGGACCCGACACTAGAAGACTGCTTTGTGTTTGGGGAGGAGGCGGGGCGGCGGGGCCTACACTATTCAGGCCCCCACATTATCATCGATCATGAAGAACATACCGAAACAACTTTCTGGATCAAGCTCGCTGCATTCCTCTGTGCATCTCAATCCCACCCGTTCGCAGCTCGAAAACATCACGTGCTCCGAGACCCTTCGCCAAACTCATCTCTCTGTGCGTTTCCAGCCTTTTCCTGGGACTCCTTGTGCTTTCGAGGGAGGTCCTCGATGATGAGCATCTCCTGAGGGGCGTTGGATGCTCTGGGTTCGCATAAGAGTTGCTTCGCAGTTGGCTTCACCAGGCTGTGCCCAACCAACATATCAGAGCTTCTCTCCGATGCAAGCTTGAAGAAGCTCTGCAGGAAAGTCTACATCAGATTTTTCCTACCAGTACCAGTGAGAAATAGGGAAGGGTGAGAACATCGTTTTTCGGCCGCCAGCCACCGCCGTTTTGATTGTGTTACAACGATTGCCGAAAACATTCGCTGCGATTCAGGCCGTGACTGCGATCATGGTTCAGGGTATTTGCGACAGCTGCTGTATCCTTGTGCATGGGTTGAGACTGCTTATAGAGTCTTACAGTAACTGTGCGCGCTCCCGACTGCTGGTAGAAAGCTGTGTGCCGTTCAACTGTAATATGATTTTTTCTTACTGTGCCTGCTTCTATGCCAATCCTGAGCTCCAACCAAGACTTGTTGCCTGAGGCACAGAAAGTTATGGCAATCGCAGTCGTCCTGTGGAACGCTCAGCTGCGCAGCGAGCCTGGTAATGCTGGTCATCACAAAGAAAACAGTAGCGACAAACAAGTAGCATAATATTATGTAGCCTTATATCACCTTTGCTTCCATCAGAAGCATCACTGCGAACACCCAGAACTCGTATCGTCAAGATGATTCTGATACTATTCTGATGTCGGACCAGTATACTACTTCTACTGCTGCTACTGGGACTTTCATTGGCTGCTACTGCTAGTGCTATTGCTGCTGCTGCTACTGTCACCTTCCACCAGCACCGCCGCCATGGAACCGCCACCGCCACCGCCACCACCACCCCCACCCCCACCACCACCACCGCCACCACCACCACCACCTCCGCCACCAACACCATCAGCACCACGACTGCTACACTGACGCCACTCCTGCTGCTGCTGTTTACTGGTCACGGAGCTGCAAGTAGGGCACTAACTTGGCCTTGCTTGAAATTGAAACTAATCCTCCTAGCGAGCCAGGAACGGTCTCAGCAATGGCACTCATAGTGTTTAACCTGTGCAGTGTGGACTGCAAAGCAGATCAAGTTGTAAGCGGACTTATCACGCGAGGTTTCCAGACTGCAGCTTCACCAAGCGGCCCCGCCTAGGTCTGTATTCGTTCAGCTGAGCACACAAGCCGGCAACCTCGCATGTTCGTCGGCGTGATTCTTCTAATCGCTCGTGACTCGTGTCTTGCAACTTCGAGGAACGACGAGAATCACTAGAGCCGCATGGGTTCCGACTGACAGTTGGGCGAACTCCTCACTTGCATCGTCAGTCTGTCCAATCGAAACCCTGGTTGCAGACCGTCACATTTGTCACGACGTGTGCTCGTGGACTCCGAAGCCCCAATCGCGGTACGAGTAGCACCTCGAACCCTGAAGCCACACGCATTTCCCGAAATGGTGGGGCCCACGTGTCGCCTGGCCCATGAGGAGCCGTAGGTCGGCTCCCCCGGCCTCGATCCGCGCCTGGCGAAGGGAGTCCCAGTGTAGTCACTGCATGCTTATACGCTGTGTACATTGCTATGGACATGCTCAGCGACATAGTAAACTTAGTAAACTGAGGCACACGAATTAGGACCACAGAACTGCCAGAATTACACTGCATGGAAACATGGATGCACATGGGTGTTCTTCCTTTGCTGTATCGAACGGTGTATCTACCGATGCCTGCAAGCATGCACACAAGCATGTATGTATGCAGTATGCATGTATGTCTGTTTGCTTGTACGTATGCACGCGCGTACATGGCTATGTAGGTATGCATGCGTGCATGTATGCAGTTGGGTAAGTATTCATAGTATGTGGGCAGGTATGAATGTATGTGTATGCATGTGTATGTGTGTGTGTGTGTACATCGGTACAAATGCAGGCTATTGATGTACACGTTCGTAGTTACAACGCACTGTAGAAAGAGAGAGAGAGAGAGAGAGAGAGAGAGAGAGAGAGTGGATAGGTAGACAGACAAACCACTGGGTATATCCGGAGGATAAGTCCGTGGTGACCTGACCATATACCGTGAGTTGCCAAAAACAGACTCAGCAAACAACACCATGTCACGTGCCCTTCTATGCTTCGTAATTATGTTATCGCTTGATGAACCAAGCCCTTCCCCGACTACTTTCGATAGCATTTAATTCGACGCTCTTCTCTTCTATGAGGGTTCCTCTTTTCGCTGGGGGTTGGAACGGAGCCTACACAAACAAAGTGATAGCCTCAACCAACACCCACCAGAAACTTCTGCGAGGGCTGTGCTATTGGTGAGGGCTTTCTTCCGAGAGATTCTCAACTTCGCATGCCGGCTGTGTTTGCAATGTTGTTGTTGGGTCCTGACCTTTCGGCTCAAGCAGTTCGGAGTGGAACATGCACAACAAAGAGCTCTCACAAAGTTGCTTGCCGAAGCTGTGCAGGTGATCGCCCCCAGCTTCAGCAATCAGTTTTGAGTTCGCCGAATGCTTCATTCCGCGAGTTCACAGGTGACGGGATTTAGTAGCACCTTCTACACCTTGTTTTTGAACCCGTGCTGAGGCCAAGGCTTACCTACACCTTAAATCGTGAGAAGCGACCACAATTGTCAACAGTATTTTTCTGGCGCCTCAAAACCCAATACCCATGGGCCACGACACACGCAACAAGATGAATTGCGGACCGCCGTTAGAGCCAAATCCACAGGAGGGGCGGGAGTTAACGAAAAGGGGGCGGGCGCTTGTAAAGCTATCGTCTCAACGCACCGACGGCTGCCTTCTGCCATGTTAGCCACGGGTCGTTCTTCCTCGTGTCGTACCTGCACAGCATACACTGTGCATGCAGCAGAGGAAGTTAACGATATTTCACATGCTTGCGCTTTCTGACACTTTGCTGGCTTTGCACATGTCGCACCAATTTTGCAACAATCACCCTCTGACAGCGGATCTGTCATTGCTTGATGGTCATCATGACATGGCTTGCTGCCAGGCGCACTTCTTCAGTTCCTGCAACGCAGCAGGCATTGAGAGAGTGAAATCAACTCTGCCAAAAAATCAAAGCAGTCCTGCTGGGAGGCTGCTACGGCAATGGGCGGTAATATGTCTTCGTGCTTCCAAACCGTCTTCTGAGCGCGCCTCTGCCAATCGATTCCTCAGCAGGATGAGCCGGTCGGCCTGAACAGTCTAGCGAGATGGATGTGTGTGTATATATATATATATATGTAGGCATGGATGCGTACGCATGCAAATGATTGCATATGTGTATGATTAAACCCCTTAGTTGGGTATACGGGCCGGCACGGCGACGTCTGAGGTAGCAGGTCAGTCTGCAACACAGTCTGTGAAGGCTTGGCGGCACACCCAATACTTGTTCCACTCCGCAGTGGTCTGCGAACATCGCTGCCTCATTGCCACGATCTGCCAGATTCGTTTCTACCCCATGGTCGGTGGATGCCGGCTTCCCGTCCACTGCAACACCGTCACCATAACTCCAACACCGTCACCTTTAAAGCTAGCAGCTAACAACCTTCATGGGTGCACGGCAGCGTCGTCATCCGCCCCAGGATGTCAACTTCGGCGCCGACGTGCAGGTCCCAAACGGTCACCGCCTCCAGCAGCGGGCAAGTCAACATCATGAATCATAATGGTATCCGATTACTCTGATTTCACAGATGAGCATATCCCTGCAGAAACGCAACAATGCAGTGCATGGAATTGTTCAAGGCTTTGACCGCATTTCGTCGTCTTTCGAAGGGCATTCGCGCTGGTCGGTTCCGTTGCGATGGCAGCATGCTTGGCGTATGGGTGATAAATGAGCATCGGGCGCCCATCCGGCCCAGGACACCCATTTCAGTCTGCAAATCTCTGTATGTTGGCACTCGCAGAAACTGAATGCAAATTCCAGAACTTTCGGGCCTCCATGAAATCACCACACTCTATCTCGTACTCATGAGTAAAAAAAGTTCAAAGAAAAGCCAAAAATAATTTCGCCGCTCAGGTTTTAGCCACCCCGCACTGTGAACTTACACCACGTACATCACATTGACCCAGCGCAGACTTGATCAGGATCCACTCTGTCAACGCTTGCCGCATGCCTTACAGCACAGTGCAGAATTGATTGTGCTGTCGCTACGAATACATCGTGGATCCGCTGGCCCCAGGTAGCAGTATACTTTGGTCACGTACAGCATCCCAGCATAGTTTAAAAAGGGATTATGACCCCGGCCGCTCCATGCTGCCTTCCTGAGGCTAAGCGATTGCAGGCCGCAATCGAACACCCTACCAGGCCCCACCAGTGTCTCCCCAGCTTCCCTTTTTTGCATCAGGACTTGTGCAATCGCCTAAACACATGGACGGAAGGCACTGCTGACTGCACTTCCATACCCTCAAGCCTCAACAAGCCTCAAACCCTTTCATCGCAAGTGACTCTCGCATCTTCCGCACGACGAAAGATCGCACGCAAGTCCGGGGGACAAAAAAGCATCCAATGAATTCCACACGAAGTCCTGACCCGGGAGGGCCTCTCCGGTCCGTGCACCGTAGGCCACCGGGACGTGATATAGATTGCTATCCTGACAGGATCTCACAGGCCCTGCAAGTCCTCTTAAGCTCCGTCACGAACAACACGAGACAGCGGCGACCTGTAGGTACTGGCTGTGGGCGATTATGTTGCTTCGACAACCGCACAAACTCGTCGCTAGCAAAGCCAAGGGCAACAAAGCTTTGATTCGTCATGGGGTTCTGTTTCAGATTACACCACACGGTCGAAAGTTGCCTGGTGTACACGCACAGTTTCAGGACAACAAGCTCGCAGCTACTCTTCCCCACCTCGTCGATGGCCATCTGGAAAGCTCCCTCGGTTATGCTGTACCTGATGTCCGACAATCATTGATGAAACCTTCTGCCCTTCTTGCTCTACCGCCGCGCGAAGATCCAAGTTTATTTCCCGGACTCGCGTACTCCATCCGAGACCCGAGCCTTATATACACGAAGCGCCGATGCTTGCCCTCGTTCCTGGGTTGCCACAGAGAGCGGATGACGCCAAGACTCAGCTCAATGCTTTGAGTGGCATCTTCCCTTGCAGAACAGTAGAAACGAGGTTTTCGACTGCATGCTGTCTCGGACAGAACAAGCGAGAACCGCCCAGGTCCGCGGGTGATTAGTCGAGTACGATACGTTGAGAGCCTTGAGAGAAACTATGCTCTCGGTCGGAAGCCAGCCAAAGCAAGCACGGCACCGTGGATCGCGGTACAAGTGATGAGTTCACTCGCCAAGCTAGCATGCGATGTACTCAGTGATACTGAGAAGACTCTGTTTCAGGAGTCATCTGTCAGCGTGGTTTCCAGTTCGGCAAGGGCCGTGTCACAAAGCTGAACGAGTCCAGGTGCACTCTCCGACCGATTACCAAGAAACAGCATGCCAACGCTACAGAGGGTCAATTAGCAAGACGCCGACTGACAGAGTCTTACGAAATCCCCATGTCGCTACCGACACGAAGATCCGAGGTCAGCACCACCAGGAGTCGAACTCTAAGCAGTGACACCCAGGGCTGCCGGCAGGCGCGACGCCTTGGGCGGCCGAACAAACATGCAGAAAGGGTGTCGGATTGGCCAAGGCTTGAGGCATGGGGTACTTATGTACTTCAAGGTTCAGCACTCGAGATTTATCTTTTCGGGAATCTGCTCGGCTGCGAAGCACTGCTCGTCCGTAAAGTTCGATCATTAGCTCATGGACTCATGGATTTCAGCTGGTCCTGTCTCGAAAGGCTGTGATTGAAGGCCTTGGGATGGTCTGGAAGCTAGGGTTGTCTTTTTTTGGCAGGAGCCATCAACATCCACTGCTCCTCCGGTGCTTCGCGCACTGCGAAGCTCTTCCAGAAAGCTAAGAGCGTCAGGAACCCTCAAAACTAAACTCAAGGCTTCAAGACTTGCAGCTTTCGTGTCAATATAGCGAAGCGAACAGTCAACCCTCAAAGGACAACCAATTTTCGAATTGTCTTCCTGAGAGCTTGGCTGGAGAGCTCTTCATGCAGCTTGGAAGTGCTGTCGTCGATCTGCTAGAGGGGTTACTTGTTGCTCGCATGCCAAGTGGCAGTCTCCTCCCCACCCCAAAGCCTGCATAGGAGAGCATGCCCTGTTTGAAGTAGCAGCCATTCATAAAACCCGTAAAATCCCACAATTGGAGGTTGAAGCTAAACGGCCTTCAGGGCCGGCACCGAACGATCAATTGCAATCCGCCTCGGCGCTGCCTCCTTCAGGCTCGGCCTGCCAAAAGAGTAACGTATGATCTGAATGTGTTATGATTGTTCACTCCGTTATCCACGAGTGACATGTATATACGAATTCGCATATAAATGTATAGATGCATGCCCTACTCCAAGACTCATGCTAGTGTCGAGGTACCGCGAAACTGAATTTTCAGCAGCACTAGCAACAGCAACAACCACCATTGCAAGTGTAGCAATAGTTTGACTAGAGACATGAACCAGCTGCTTGAAGATCGTGCTAGCAGTGGCAACAATAGCCCCAACGGTGTTAACAGCAACAATCAGCAACACAAAGGACTGTTGTAATGAGCGCAGTAACTCAGTAGGGGCGCAGTGTCCGAGTCAGAGGAGCTTCGGGCGACGGCGATACAGATCGAAGCAGATGGAATTCCCACAAGACGGCTCTAAGGACACCACCATTTGCCATGCACTGCCTCCGGTCAGGCAAATCAAAGGCTGCCTGACACAGGGCTCAAGACAGGAAGGGCACGGCAACAGCTCGACCATCAAGTGGCCAGACGCTCGGCAATCGTTTCGGCTTAGGAGTGTCGTCTACGGCCTAAGGCTGCAAGCTCACTGCTCGGGCTGTCCTATGTTTTCGAGCAGCTGGAATTCGGAGACCTTGCGCCGCAAGATCTGCAGGACAGTCGCTGCAGCCGGCTGTCTGGTGATCTGGAGCCCGAGCGGACACACATCTCCTTCAGTACCCATCATGGACACGGTGCACAAAGCTCTGGCCGATAAGAGGCATCCGGTGAAGTACTGTGCCGAAACACTCCCGTTTGTGCAGGTCCACTGTTGCCAAACCATGACTCCCATTCCCCACTGCTTTTTGCCGTACAAGTCAGGCATCGGATGCCAAGCTTCCAATGTGTGAAACGACACCTCACTTCGAGCTACTTTGTAGGTTCCAGACGCACCCCCTCTGCCGTGCGGACCACATGCAAGCAATTGGAACTTTAGCGGCGACTAAGCCGTGACCATAATTTAACTCAGCAGCGGCCTGCAGAAGCGCAAGCCTCTTCAAATAGAGGCTCGCGGTTCCGAGGAGCCTGAAGGGGACCTATCTACGTAAACAATATGTCGTGAAACCCTTGCAGGTGCAGGGTTTTGCAATCATCATCAGCATCATCCCTGCATGTTGACGGCCTGTGCTCAGAGGTGTATGCCGGGGGAAGCTGAGAAGCTTGACATGATTGCAAAACGGCTCCCTGAGACGTGAGGGCAATAAACTTTGTCTGCTGACAGTGCAGCATTGCCAGCGAGAAGGACAGAGGTCACCGACGTCATGAGTCCTACAGATTAAACTGGGCACTTGGAGTGCGTCTTTCAGACAATTACTCCCTTTCATCGTCAGAGTTGGCCCCTTGTCTGTAAAGGTGACAGGCACAATGCCCGAGAGCTACTGTCTCAGCACGCGGGACGTGGCAGGTGCTTCAATTCCGGCACCGAAAGAGTTGAGGGCAAATGGGTGGCAATGCAGGTCGTGGTGCCTGCAATGCCAAAACAAAAGGCTCGGATGACAAACAAGCTCTGCTGTTTCATCCAAAGAGCCTGGGTACATGACCCCGGGCTACGAACTCCCCGCTACCAAACACTCCGAGTTGATGGAAGTCTGTGCCAAAGCTTGCCATTGAAGCAAGACTTTGCACACCTGCGGTGAATCCCTTAGAAATTCTTCTTGTATGTTTTAACAAATTAATTACCATGCTTGGCGTAACGCCTGCCATGCACTCGTAAGTTGCTACGCAACCGTCCGTGTGACGCACTGTTCCTTACATATATCCGAAGTCAAACTTCTTTCCGGAGAGCTGTGAGGTGTATCTTTGCACCCGTCTGGCCAGCAGGTGTGGCCATGCACGTGCACATCGGAATTTCTGAGACCTGCAGGCTTAGTCGGGGCTTGCACTGCATCTTCTAGCAAAGGCGACTGCCGCGAACGACTGTCCAGGACCAGACCGAACGTGCAGGGGATCGTAGGAAGTGACTCCATCTGTCAGCGGTGCCTTGTTGGTCATCTACATGCTCCTGGCCTCAACCACTTGCCTCAGGAAATCACTCAAATGCCGTGGCACAGCAATGACATATCCAAACATCTTGAGGAGTGTAGAGGCATGTCGAGGCAGTTTGAGTCGTCTCAGTATTCCCCGCCCAGTATCGAGTACAGGCATTTGCTCAATCTTTCGCCCGACAAGTTACAAAGCAAAGCCGGCGAGCTCGAGGATCGCTGACGTTGCCAAACCTGGTGCCGCTCAAATCTGGGCACAAAGCTTGGCGACAATCAGGCCACGGCCGCATCACTTTAGAGCTGATTACCCGATGCTTTCGGAAGGGTCTCAGAAGGCGTGAACTGCTTCGCATGGATCTGGCACACGCGTCTTTGCAACAAAGCCAAACCCCGCTCGCCCTTTTCTTTCCAACGCCGGCATCCCTCAGATGCGCCAAGACGGCCTCGCCATAGAGCCTTCGCCTGATGCCCACCAGCTTTGAAGGCTCAAGATATGCAGGCGGTGTCTTAGCTTAAAGCATTAACATGTCAAATTCAAAAGCAGAGCGGCCGCCGCTACGGTCTATTTACCCGAGATCCACCAACAGAAAGACTACGTAGCCAAGTATCTTCACTGCGGAGAGTGGGATCAGATCCTCCACGCTACCAGGCTCCAGCTCCGAAAGTCCCGCGATCTCCTCCTTGATCTGCCGAGACGGCTGGGCTCGTGGGGCATTCCTATGCTCTTCCAAGCCTTAAATTCAACTCCATTATTTCTAAAAGACTACAGGAGTTGCAAGTTGCATTCCGTCTTCGTCTGTTTCGAGAGTTTGTTGCTGGTGCCGGGCGTCTAGGCATCCCTAGAACCCATGCTACGCCTCATTGCAAGCCCGAGTTCGAGCTAGGCCAATGATAGGGTTTAACGGTTTTAACTGCCAGGTGACGTCCGTGAGCACGAACTGCCCTGGCACCCCAGCCTGCCTCGGCTACTCATGCTTCAACTGAAATCCGACTCTCGGAGACGGCAGAAAGCTTGGAAAGTATCTCGGAAAATCCAGGGTGGTACGTGTGCCTGACATGAAGTGAACCCAGCTTCGAATGTCCACAACACAACCCGTGCCCTCAAACATGACAATGTGTCGGGACACTTCCCCAGCAGGGCCCGCAGTTGCCGCAGGCTCTGTCGAATGCCAGCACACGCACCGACAGGACCTGTGCGAAGAGCTGCTGCTTCTTTGGCCGCAGCGGATGCGCCACAAGCATCCTTGCGTCGGATTGCATCGATAATGTATATCACTCGGAGACCAGCTGGACATGAATCGAGCGCTGGCCATAGCCACTTATTCTTCTAAAATGGAATTTAGTTCGTGGCCGGCACTACGATCTCTTTACGAAAAGCTTTGCGATTCAAGGCCGAGTTGCTATTGGGCTGAAAAGCAGGTCTGGTGGCGAGCTCAGCGCCTGAGCTTCAGCAGAGAGCTCCATGTCGCCGGCCAACACGCGATCGGCGCTCGGGGTGGCCACCAAGTAGGCATTCGTCGCCTCGTCTCCCGGCATGGAGATAAACCATTGACCAAAAACGGATCAACAAAAGCTGTTTCGCTCAGCAATGTCACCGCAACTTCCTAATCCTCCAAGGCACATACGGAGAGTGCCGAAACTCCTCCCTCAAGTAGCCAGCTCCAAGGAGGGATAGTGCGACATACATGACTGCCTCAGATGCCACCTCTCCTCGCCACTTGCAACTTTTCTGGACCTGAGGCAAACAGGCCGCTCCCAGAGCGGATCACTGGCTTAAGATGATTCAATATTTGGAACACCTACAAGTAGAAGAGCTTCATACCTTTGCTGTCTTCAGTTCGTTCCATCGAGGATCACGTTTACGCCACCCAAATCGCGAAGTGTGTCTCCGTCCCGCCTGGCCTTGTCCGAAAGCTTTGCCAGTGTGAGTTGCTCTTCCTGGCCTCTGGAGAAGAAGGCCAAAACAACGCGCAGATGTGCAGATGGTACGAGACATTCAGTGAACCGACGCAGAAGTCTCGGCGTTTTCAATACAATATCGACTTTCTGCGTTTAGGCAAGGCCCTATCTATAGGGCCCTAAGGGGGAGGGAGCTTTGTTGATGAGCGCTGGAAGCACAGCGGGTGCCCCAGTAAAACAGCACAAGAAGAGCTGTAAAACAGTGACCGAATCGAATGCACGAAATCCAGAGACCCAGTCACTCAGTCTCAAGGTTAAACTCCTGTAATCCTGAACCCCCAGGGTTTCCCAATCATATTGCCGTCCTCGCGCAGCTGCACCAGCATGCAAAGCGCTTGTCAGTGCCTCTGGTGGCGTCGATGGCCTCAGCGAATAGGGCGGTGGGGAATCAGGGATGGGTTGGCATCTCAATCAAAAAGGCCGGGAAGTGACTGCCACCGTGTACCCTTCCACGGTGGGGTAGAGATCTCTCATGCTACATATTCGAAGATGAGGTTTCGAGCTGATGTACTTTCAGCTCCCCGTGACGTCAGAAGAGGGCAGCTGCCACAAGGTCTCGAGACATTGTGTTCGCTTCGCGCTGGGCTCGGCCACTGCCACAACTTCGTCTCCCGCAGTCCTATATACTCTCGCTGTTGCAAGGGTTGAGCAACTCGCCCGGGGTATCCAGTAAGCGAGAATCGGGGAGCTTGATCAGGCACGAGCAGCAAGCAAGCAAGTTCTCATTGAAACCAACTATTTCCGGCGCAGCAGCGGCATGTCTTTTACGATTGGTTAAACCGTGGCCAAGACGCGTCAGCCGCGGCTTCTTCCGAGCTGGCGGTTCGCTCTTGTCACTGCCCCTGGCCTCGAGACAGCCCGAGGTAAAGTAATCTTGCGAGTGCCTTCCTGGTTCTCGAAATCTCTTGTTGAGCAAACTGCGGCTGAGGCCACGGCCATGCAAACGTCGCATCCACGGTCGCAAGGCGGCAGCTCCTACGTTGCGTGGGTATTCTAAAGGCCAAACCGCTCCGAAGTACGCTGTCAACGCTAGGGTGCGTGATCGGTCAAGATGTTGCAACTCTTTCTTTTGCAATCTATATCCTCGCCGAAGTGACGAGAGATCTGCATGCGCCGACACTCGCTCCCGTGACCTGAAAACATTGCAAACACAAAACGCTCGAAAAAGGAACCAATTAGCGAACTGCCCCCCCCTCTAATTCATTTATAGGGCTTTCCACAATTTTGTGTTTATGCAGTAACTTATGCACGCTGCACGCTTGCAACAGTGCAAGTGTGGTTATGCCACAGCATTGGCAGTGCTATTACGGTTCAAGCTATGCAAGCCTCGCCAGGTGTCACACATGGTGTCACAACTCTGACCAACCACAACCACGCGTGATGTCCAAGCCACAATACAGCGCAGCCTTGTAGAGCTCCCTTAAGGACGCCGGCTTGTAGTAATTCCTCTGTGGCTGGAACCGTGCAAAGTAAAAACGTTCTCGAAGTGCTAGGGTCTTACATCAAGGATTGGTTAGCAAAGATATACACACGTATGCATTCGGTGATGAGCAAGGGTCATGACGCTGTGCCGCGGAACGTCGCTTGGTCGGTAGAGCAGCAAGCAAAGGGCAGGCTTGCCGTCCCTCCCGGCGCGGCCAGCTTCCTGGTAGTAATGGTGAAGTGAAGCCGGCAAGCCTGCATGGACCACGAAGCGCACGTCACTCCTCGGCTAAAATCGAAACAAGGCTAAGGAGGTGGCTTCTGGCAGGGCTTCTGACATGGATCATGCGAGGCTCTTGTTGATACCCATGCCGAAGGCCACGGTGGCCACGACCACGCTGATGCGGCCCTCCACCCAAGAGGAGTGGACTCTCTGGCGGGCCGACGCATCCAGATCCCCATGGTAGAACTCGCAAGGCACGCCAGCTTCTGCCAAGCCTTGTCGCAACTGCTCTGCTTCCTTGCGTGTGAAGCAGTAGACCAGGCCAGGAGTACCTCGGATCTGACTCCGGATTTCATGAGCTTGATGCTCAACTGTCACGACTGCATGTGATGCATATGTATGCCGGTATGTATGGGTGGATCTGCTGGATAGGCAGACGTGTAGGTAGATAGACAGACACATAGCAGGCTAGCAAACCGACAACAAACGCGAACATCTAAACCGCTCGTCTTATGTCAACTTCAGTGTGCAATGTACGAATGTGCAAAGAGAGTGGGAGGAGCGAGAGAGAGACAGGGAGAGAGAGAGAGAGAAGGGAGGGAGAGAGAGAGAGAGAGAGAGAGAGAATAGAGGATAGAAAAAGAGAGGACGGATGAGGCCTTCTTTGCCTCGACACAAAAGTCGGTTCAACATGCGACTGACATGAAAGACGCAAGCGAGCCCTGTGAGCTCCAAAAGGGACGGGACAAAGGTGAGATAAGGAGAGAGGGACACTTGTTGGCAACCCAGTACCACTCCGCCTCGTGGAAAAAGCTGGATCGTTGACAGCACCATTGCCAGAACGTCCGCTGCGGCTTTGGGGCGATGACCTGTGAAGTCTGCAACAAAAACAGATGGCCCCACGTGCATGCTCTACAGTCGACCGTCCAGGTCAGTCTTTTCTTCCAGCTCGGCAATGATACTACGCTCAACTCAAAAGCCACCCTTGGCACAACCGAGTGACTTTTCTAGCGGTCCATGTACAGGCCAGTAAGACCCGTCTCTTGCGAAGCACAACCAGCAGGACAGTAGGACAAGGCAAGCGGTTTCCAGGATGAGCCAAGCCAAGCGGCGCACGGCATAGAACAGGTTGGGTCGGTCTGTTGGCGCGCGGAGCTCCACGGCCCCTGCCATGCCCAGGCCTCGGAAGCGAGGCCCTGGCCTTCCCTTGTTCTCCCGTTCTTGTTGTGAAAGAAACCGAACACGGACGGCGACGATAACATGACGCAGATGGTGGTACTGGTGGCTCTGGTGGGGCCGGTGATGCTGCGACAGTGGTGCTGGCGATGATGGTGTAGACAGCTTCAGCATTCGAGTGGCTGAGTGCCGACCTCTTGAGGACTCTCAGGCGCCAAGCGTCGAAAGTTAGCCGCCCACACACATGCACATAGCAAAGAAAGCCAGTAGACTCAGTAGGCCGATCGACTAAGGACGCGGCATTTCTGCACATCGCCAGCGACTGTCTGAGTAGCCTCAGGCGGATCGCTTATGGCAAGCCCTGTGATTAAGAGATCCTAACCCGAAGGACCTACAATCCTTGCAAGGACAAGCTCATCCTTGCTGCCTTTTGATCTGCTCTTTCTTGCCAACGGGCTGTGGCTGTCAGCGCCAGTATTGGAGTCTGTGGAAACTGGACCCGCAAAGCGGCCAAGCGCTCGTAATCCTGACGCTGCAAGGCTGCTGCGGCTCGATCAAGAAAACCTGTATCGATGAACCCATTCGGTAGCAAGTGATCATTATGTGTTGGGTCTTGACTTATTCAGAACCCCTGCTTTTACCATCAAAGATTGGGGATCAGCAGGGCCCAAAAAGGCCCCGCTGAGCCGTAGTGATAGTTGTGATGGTGGCAGTTTCTTTCAACCACCCAGCACATCGGTGGCCGCTAGTGGGCTAGTAGTACTATATTAGAAATTTCACCTGGCACTAGTACCAGTAATTACTCGTGCTAGTAACTAGTAGTGAGTAGTAGTGGTAGTAGTGTTCGTCGTCGTCGTCGTAGTCGTGGTCGTCGTCACCGTAGTAGCAGCAGTGGCAGTCACACTCTGCCCAAAACAAAACAAGCGTCAAACAAGTACCTCGGATGGGTTGTAGGCTCAGAGCCTCCCTACAAAACAACAATCCAAATCCAACCGGGCCAGTGACCCAAACCGCATGTGAGAATCTATTGTGACCCATAGTGCAGGCAGGAAAGCCCCGCAACACAGCTTCAGGCAAGTTGAATGCAAGTAATTATGAAAAGGACTTGCCATAGCACGCACTTGTTCTGAACTGGCTGTGAACATAAATGCATGAAGAAAACGGGGCGCCCTTCCCTTTTGAACTGTGGCGGATTAAGAATAGTAATGGTGATGAATCCGAGGAAGCGGCTCGACAAAGTGAGTCCAATGCCAGCATGCCTACCGAAAAGGCTTGCTAGCGCTGAATCTCCCAAGCACCCCAAGCAAGCGTCCAAGCTTCAAGTCCTGTCGAAAGTCGTGGCCCCATTGTGAGATGCAGTGCGCCTGATCTGGGTGGCTGAGCATTCGCTGCTTCCCGGAAAAAACAGTCTCTCAGCGATTTGTCTGCAGAAGTCCAGTCTTGCAAAAGAAATGCAATAACTTCATCCCAGCCATCATCGTCTTATCACTATCGCCGAGTCATCCCGAAATCGAAGCAGTGGATTCCAGCAGGTAAAGAAAGCACTGAAAGGTGTTGAGGCAAAGCTGGGCATTTGCAATCCATGGCCTCGTCAATTGCCAGCAAACCCAAGCGGTCCGCGGCATAGATTTTCTCTAGGAGGTTCATAACCTAGGCTAGCGCAGCGATTTGCACGAAGGGCTTTAGAAGTCAACCAGCAAACGCTGACGGGAATACGACTCCACCATCAAGTGCGTCGGGGAGCAAGCTTGCTCTTTGCCAGTCGCTCTGGCGTCAAGTAGAGGATCCGGAGCCCGTCTGTTAGAATCGCAACCCGGAGCTGGCTTCTCAAGTGTCAAACTTCATCTGGCTTCCAGCACTTTCCAAAATTCCACTCCAAAAATCCAATAGACTTGGATAATTAGTACAATCTAGTCGTGACGAGTATGTCAGTTACGACCAAAGCCCACAATCGCCTGCAATTCTGCCAAGAGCCTGGTCTCAACACATGTCGAACAAGCAACATTTGACATGACAGATCATAACAGGGCATAGTGTGCGTGTGAGAGAGAGAGAGTGAGAGAGAGAGAGAGGGAGTGTGTGTGTGTGGGGGTGTCGCAGTGTCTGTCGATCATCTAACAACAGAGCCTCCTCCGTCCTTTGCTGTTAGGGCCTTCATCTCAGCGCGGATCTTTGTCTGATCCTGGGCCACGTGAGAGAAGGAACTTGAAGAGAAGAAGTCCTAAGTCCTATAAGTGCTAGTGCAATATCTTTTATGTCATGCCAAGGTGTCAAGCTGTAAATACACCCAATTGTCTGTCCCTTCTTTAGTGTGCGGTTGTGTGTGTGTGTGTGTGCGTGTCTGTCCTTCTTGTTCTAGCTTCCTTGTTTCTGCGCCTGCGTGTGTGCACGCGTCTGTCTGCGCGTGTGTGTGTGTGTGTGAGAGAGAGAGAGAGGGAGAGAGAGAGAGAGAGAGAGAGAAAAACAAAAAAAAAGTGCTGGCATCTACTGACACCCAAACGCTTCCACCTAAGCAGAACAGATGCACACATGTACGCACACACACACACGCATGCATACATATATATATATATATATATATATACATGTATGTATGTGTGATATGTAAATAGTTATACAAATATATAACAATACATGTCCTAGCAGCAGTCTGTCTCCGTGTGAGTTTGCTTTTGCATGTGTAAGAACTGAAATCTGAACGGTACTTGTAATGTCTCCTTTCGTCCTTTCTGCGTGGTGTCGTTACGTCGCTGTTCGCGTCACATTAGTGCGTCACGAACAGCAACCTGGAAATCCGAACCTGTGCGACTGCGGTTTTCTTTGCCAAACACTAAAGTGCATCATACCTGTAACTGCTTCTAACAACCAACGGCCCATCCATCCATCCGCCTGTCTATCTGTCTATCTCTATACCACCTGTACATTCAGACATTGACCATACATATGCGCAGAGACTTCTGAATGATGCCAATGCTGCCTACTGCCCGGCCTCCCGGGAGTCGCTACTGCTGAGCATGGCCGCTTTGATCCCCAAGGCCTGGAGCGCCATAACCTGGTCCTGCGGCGTAGGCAATAGGGTTTCCTGGCTCTCGACGTCCAGTCAGGGAAGACTGACAGACACTCAGCAGGCACTACTTCAACCGTATCAGCAGAATGACCCCAAGCCAAATCACAACCCACAACAGAGCCGGCATAGCACAACCCGGACAAACTGAACAAGCAAAAGCGAAACACACCCCAACATTCATGATGATTTTGCGTTAGAATCAGTAGACCCAGTAGGCAGTCAGCACACGATGGATCAGTGTGCCGCACTATTTCAAGAAGAACACCCACGACAGTCGGGCCAATCTCGCGACCACCAGCGGTGGATGCATTCATGCAGTGCAGACCAGAGGCTCAGGGTTGGTAGGGATCTCAATTTTGGGTTTCCGTTTCGACTGTCAGAGCTTGGAGCGAAGGATTTGCTGGACCTCTAAAATTCTGTGATGGCCCAACACGGAAGAATAGTCGTTTACATGCTACACTGCAAAATCAGACAGGCACGAGGGGAGTAATTCTGAATGATTCGACTTCAAACGACGCGTCTCTAAGCTCTATTGCTGCATGGATGGCTACTGTTGCCCACCTTGCCCTCTAACTCTCACGGCCGGCGGGCCTGCATCAACGAAAGCAGGGGGCTCACAACCTGAGCCATGCGCGGCTCCACTTCGTCATCCGATGTGGAAGCTGGCAAGACGATGAGCAGGTGCACTGGTCACTCTAGTACGCGAGTCTTTTTTTGACTTTTGGTCCGCCATATTTGATGCCGTCGCCGCAGATCGCAAATACCAACTAGTGGGGCCCTCCTTGCTGTCCCCGCCTTTGACATTTTGCAGCTGGTCTCTCCCCCGTTGACCTTCAAACACAACTCCAGATCAAGCCCGTCCAAGGCTGCAGCGACGGTGAGGTTGCTGCGCAGTAGCGACGGAGCCTCAGGCTACCGGCGTGATCCAAAACAGGCCCTGGAAGCATCGGTGTTCGTCATGGTAGATGGACGCCGTTGTATCGAAGGATCTAAATTTCTGTGTGACCACATGGTCCGAAGCATATTTGGAAGGTCTGTAATCTAGTGATAGCGTCGTTCCTCTTCCGGGCTCTACAAGCGCCTGTTCGACTCGCACCCTCGCTCCAGCACTGCCGCCTGTTTGAAGCTCAGTTTCCCAGCAAATCCGGAAGCAATGTCTCCCTAATGTCGCTGCGAGACCTGAAAGCACAAGGACTTGCCGGCGCCAGTCGGTGCTACCAAAAACACATCCCGGCCCGCGAGGATGGCATTCAAAGCCTCCTGCAGGAAGGTCAGGGAGGGCTGCATGGCAACGGGCAACCCAGTGTTTTCTGTGTGGGTGCGACGTGCGCAAAAGATGAAGGCCACAGGGTAATAAATCAGAAACTCTGAACCTATGCAGATTCCCCGGTCTCCTCTTGGTTCCGGCGGAAAGCAGTGACACCGAAAGTCTGCTCACAAAGCCGCCGCAGCCTCGAACAAAACGCTGGAAGTCACAAAAAGACAGTCTGGTCGTCTTTGGCGGAGAAACAAGCAGTGACGGTCGCGCAGATTGTCTTATCATGCCTTCTTCAGCATCTCACGTGGCACCCAATACACGAGCATGATGTGAGCCGATGTGGACTCAGCCGTAGCAGCCGAACTTGAACCAATCTGAATGCTACCGACACACCAAACTTTGCAGCTGGGAGGCTTTTTGGTCCAGGGCTGCTGCTTCACCCAGTCCTCTGCAGACTTCGGTCGCTGCTGCTGGAGCTCCTCGATCCGAGCTTCGGAAAACTCCACAGGTCCGAATCACATGGCTTCAGTCGAGTCACCACGTTGGTGAGAACTCGCAGGCTCTACCAACTCCCGGCCAGAGTGTTGATTCGACAGCAGGAGTGGCGATGTGGATTTTCTGCAGCGAATGACTAAGACGAGAAACGCCAAACGCTATGTCTCTTGAGCCAGCCCTTTCTTTGATCACTGGCGTAGATGCCAATAGAGGAAGCCGTCCTCGATCTCCGCCTCGAGGCTCTTCTGTCGTTCCCGGGCTGCCTGCAGCTTCAGGCATTTCTTCGACCAGGCATAAAAGAACAACAATCGAAAGTAAGCCTGCAAGTCGCGGCGAGCTGCTGCGACCAGCGCTGTGCAGCGCTCGACATCAACCTGGATTCTGGATGGGTAATCACTGCCCGAAAGTGATACATAGTTGAAATATGTCGAAGTTTTTCGCATGGGGCTGCGCTGCCACTTCCCTGAAGTTCGGGCAAAAGAGGCAGCGGGCCTGAGCCTGGCTCAGCTGCTCACCTGCAGCGCGAGGAACACAGAGCAACATGAGCGGAAACATTCGCTCCTTGCTGAAATTGAGACGTCGAACCGAATTGCAGCTACTCATGTCGTGCTGGCTTCATGCCCCGCCCCCCCCCCCCCCCCCCGCCGGAACAACCACAGAATGAGCTGCTGACGGTCAGGTCGACCTGCTCTGTAATCAGGTCATATAGCACCTCCTGCATCCAATGCTGTTTCTGAAGGTTGACTTCTTGGTGCTCACGCTTGCTGTTGGTGCTTCGGCTGTTGAGTGATTACTCCGAGGCAGTTCCGCAGCACGGGCGTGCTTCTGGCGTTTCAATGAGTGCCACCGCTGAAACGCCTGCCTCACAACGGAATTGCCAGCTGCAAGCTTCGAGCCCAATCTTATTGCTAGACATGTCACGGAGCTGACGCTCCCGGCTGATATGGGCCATGGCTGGCGTGGGCACGCAGCGAGCATGCAATTATTATGGTTGCAGCATCTATGTTTTTGGTGTTACGGCTTCAGCTGCAGAAGGGTCTGCAAGCAGGACGCTTCGACAGCTTTGTCGGTGGTGAGCAGAATTCTGAAGTCTAAGGAGTCTAAGGATGTCTCTTGCTCATGTTCGCCTATTGAACCTCATGCCGGCAAAGCTTGAATGGGGCTGGCGGCCCAATCCCTGCAAAAACGCAAGCGCAAAGAACGACACGGTCAGGTCTCGCAAGGAGAGCCCCGTAGCGTTGAATCTCGAAGATCCGTACATCTGAACTCAAGAAATGGCAGGCATGAGCCCGACAAGGATGCACACACTCCCTGCAGCTCGGTCAGGCACAAACTCAACGACGAGCCCGGCCAATTGAACCGCCTGTTCCAGGATCCATAAGGCTGGCTGGTGCTGTACTGGCTCTAGAACGATATTCACAGAGCCAGATATCGAGGACAACGGAGGAGACCAACCAACTACTCCAGACTTCGACCGCTCAACACAAGTCGTCCAATCTAGCGGTGTGCAAGCAGGAAATCTTCTCCATGCTCCGGCCTCGGATTTTCGAGGTGCGCGGCGCAATGGTATCCTTAGATTCTCAAGGTGATCATCGCCTACCGTTGTAATCGCCTACGGCTGACCTGACGGTGGGACATTACAGACGAGACGTGCGGGTGGTGAAGCCCGGCACTTCGACAGCTGCAAAATCAAACCCACTAGCCCACAAGTAGCCCGTCGGGTCCAAACAGCCAGCGACGTCCCGCAATGGTGCTGGCACTGTATATTCACGGTAGCGAAATGCCAGAACGAATAGTTTGACATTCCCTGCCAAGCATCGTAGTCGAGTGGGCCAGGGGACTTGATGGAGAAGCCATCTCTCATCACTTTTCTGTAGGCCGTGTTCTCGTTGGCACTCACTGGGTGGAGGTAGTCCCTCAACTCGTCGAAGTTGATCTTGCCATCACCGTCGCGATCACACGAGTCGAAGATCTGCTTTGCTTCCGCTGCGGAGATCTTAGGGTCTGCCTTGCATAAAATGCTGTAAACCTCATCCACGCCCAAGGTTCCATCCTGCCATGTCGCACCAGGTTGGCTTCATACAAGGCATGGTGACATATATGTCTTGTCACGCATCGGCCGACCGCCAACCCATCCCTTAGCCCTATACATGAGGTCCTTGTTCGAGTCGCAGCTGGCGAACTGCCGCTTCTCATAGGGGAGGTCGGGCAATGACATGCGTCCCGGCACGCCGAAGTAGTTCCCGCCCTTCACCTCCGACAACAATATCACGGACTCGGACTCCGCTGGGGATGAGGAGTGTTTGTTTGGGCTGGCTTACTGATGTCACTTCGAATGACTTTCTGTAGTGCTGTAAGGCAAGTAGCTTTTAATCCCTGAGCTCCCCTTGCTGGAACTCAGAAAACTGCCGCCTTGTGCTGGACGTGTGTGCAGTAGGTGGCAGGGCCCGGTGATGACTCCAAATGGCCCTCATAGCCTTGGAAACTGCTGCGATGCTTGAGCTGTTGCATGACACTGGCTGAGAGGATGTATACCGCTGTGGCAGGACAGGGGGATGTAGGGGCACCTGCACTTTTACATCCACCAAAGTTGCAGCTGCTCTCGGGTGAGGTCTGCGACAGCTAGGAAACTCTGGGGAAAAATTCTGTCACCTTCTGTCAGACAGGCAGCCTCCAGGAATGAACCTTCCTAGCCTTCGAAAGTACCCGGGCCAAGGGGCAGAGCGCCCGCCTTGCAGCTCCAATTGTGGCTCGCGGGCCCTGCTTTTGATGGGCGAGAACCTCATTTGATCGGGAGCTCACCCTAGCATAAGCACCCTAATGAATTAGGTAGTTAAGTTTCTAAACACGACAAGACGGTGATCACAGCCGTGGGGGGTGGCAGTCGTCCTCGTGGTGCACCTGCCGGTGGTAGTAGTGATGGTGGTGGTGGTGGTGGCACTAGCAGCAGCGGCAGCAGCAAGTGGAGGATCAGTATGAAGATTTCGTAATGCATCCGAAGACTCAAGACACTGGTGCGAATTGACTGACTCGACAGCGCTAGTGTCTTGCATTTCCGGAGAAAGCAATCAGCTGGTACCGAGGCATCGTGATGTAGGTAGTTGTTCCGACAGCTGCAACTGTAGGGACCCAATCTAGGTTCTCGGTGATGAAAGCATCTTAAAGCATCAGCCATGGTTCGGAGTGCATTACCTCGAGTTTAGACGCAAGCCCAAAATGGTGGGGTGTTCGTTGCACATCCCTCGCCAGCCTGGCAGGCAACCCACTCATGCTTACCGCATTCATCTGTTGGTCGAGTGACCTACATGGAACTGATTGCAGTGGTCTAGACAGCTCTTCTACGTTGTGTTGAAGTGCCAAAGCAACGTGGTCACTCCAGTCTGCTTTGGGACATCCGAGGCACTGAGAAATTCTGCGCATACCTGAGCCCCAAGTTGTTTCGGCATCTGCTTCTTACAGCGTATACATGCTTGCTAAAATAATGACATGGCAAACAGCTTCTGCGACAATGCGAAGACTGGATACACGACAGGGACACACTGTTTCTAACCTTAGCTGGCCGACACATGAAACCACATGCCAACACATAAGTAATTTTACCGCCCACATATCAGCGCCCAGCGGACTTGGTAACAAGTCGACTTGCGAACGGTGCGGTAATGTGTGCACTTCTTGAGAACACAGAAGTAATGAACACAGCAGTTCAACCAACTAACAAGACGAAAATAAGCAAGAAATGCCAACATACCTGCGACCATCCATCCCTCCGTCAGTCCATCCATCCATATGAACATATAGTAATATAGCTACCTACCTATCTACATGCGCATTTTGGCAGCATTTTGAAGCTTTAGCAGCTTTAGCATGCGAGAGTACGAATATTCACCTTTTGCTAGAATGTCCACAGCACGTTTGAAACTAAGCTTTCATTGCTATGGCCTGCTATGGCTGTGTGTGCAATCTGCCCCTGGGTGATCCAAAAAGCTAACATCAGTGACACACCTGAACCCTACACATGAAATTACGGCGCGCGGAAAAGCCTTGTCAAATTTCCTCAGTATCGATGAGTTTCGATGAAATCTCCCGGAAGTATTCGTTCGATTTCCGATGCCGAAGTATCGAGCCAAACAATGTCTAAAGCTTCTCGCAACGAGCAGCATGAAGAAGCCACAATCCAATCCCCAACATAACGCCGACAAGTCCTGAGTCCTGAATGCCCGAAATACACAGTACACATGCTCGACGCCAAGCCACGATCCAGGCCCTGGAGACTCGGAGCGCGAGCCCATGCCCTTCGGGGCAGTGCCGAAGGTTGCCGAGTAGGCGTTCCTCACATCGTGGCTACAGTGCGGCGTCATTTCGGCTGGGGGCAAAAATCCCGACTTCCAGCTGTTGAGACACAGGGGTGGCCTTTCGATGCAAACTTTTGGTCTTCCGGACTACCCGAAAAGAATGGTACACTCATTGGTAATCCGGCGCGTGCTGCGATGCACAAATCCCATGTCTACTGTCAAATCCATCAAACCGGACACCAAGCATACTGACCGGGCATAGAGCGACTGACATAATTTGCGACGACAGAGGCACTCCCGAGACAACTGGTGAGACATTAACTTGCGCATTCTCGCCCACATGTCTCGAGTGCGAGAAACTCATAGGAAGGGTGGTGTTTTTTGAACCCAGGCTCTATGCCATCAGTCCACAACTGGATCATGTCACTACAGTAGCACAGCATCCTTCCATACGCCCTCCTCCACACACCCCCTATTAAGTCAACCCGGAAACATTTCGGCAAGCGACTTGTGGAAGGCGCTGGCCGTGTGGTTTCCCTTGTAGGCAGCCGGGCCAGGGGAGAGGCTGTTCACGCCGTGGTCGGTCATTCTCCTTAAACACTCGCCAGGGGTCACTCATGCACCGTGGCTGCTGAGACTCCTGGCTTACAATCGCGGCGGAGCGGAGGCGAAATCTTGGATCAACCGAGTTCGGCGTTGCTTTGGCTTCACTGCTGAGATGAAGGGCTGCGCTTGAAGCTGACGCCGCATGCATATACAAATGCAAATGCTATAATATATTAACTATTCCATGTCTCTAATTAATTAATTAGATAATTAACACACATACGGTCAAGAATCAAACTTACTCAGCGGATGGTTGGCAGATACACACAGCCACGGTGCTTGTGAGCTCGTCTGGGCCAAGATGCCGCTGGCTTGGGATCACTGCCCGGGGAGCGTTGCGCTTGCCCGCCAAGGCCTCTCCGAGAGCTAAAATGGCTAAGGCCGCAGGGGTACAAAAGGGAAACAGCTGTCTGCATATGCTTCGTTATCGGTAACAGGAGCAGCAGAGTTTCGTTGTGAGTTTGCTCTTCCGGTTTCGCCCATTTTTACTCGGCACCTTGTCATTGCCAACGTAGTCTGCAGGACCAGGGCACGAGAGGTTGAAAGCGGTGCGCAGCTTCTTTCCTCACGACAGCGTAGCAGCATCGGCAAAGACAGAGATCCAACATTCTATCTCGACAAGTCATGTTTATCAGCGACCATGCTTCGCCAGGTAGAGTGCTCGAAAGTTGCGCCAGGTGGGTGCAAGTACCTGTGCGGAAGACTCAAGCGATTGAAATGACACAAGACGACAGCTTGCTCGAGAGGTTTGTCCCGCAATTAGCTGCCTGCTCTCACCACATGAAGGCATTGACATACATTGACGCATCAGCTTCCCCTCCAACTAACGGCTCGAGTGGGGGCACTCCGACAGCTCGTTAAATCCCACATTCCCGTCCTGCATGTCAGGTCAGGATGCATCTGCACCCGAAGCTGGACTGCTTCATAACTCTGCAACCGCCAACCTTGTCTTTGTCAAGGGCATCGAACAATGCTTGCACCTGCCAAAGTATGCGCCATGGCCAGTGAACTGAAAAGGCATTTCCTGAGCCGAGGACTTCCATGTCCGTCAAGTTCGGATCTCCACGACGGAGCAACTTGCACAGCTCCTGCCAAGACTCTGCCAAGAGACTTTATGTCTGTTCAGCAAAACAACTACATTGCTACATGCCACTGTGCGACCTGGAAGTCGAGCGTGCCGTTGCGGTTCAGGTCGTACTTGATGAAGGAAGTCTTCTCCTCACCAACTTGGATAGCTTTGCAACCGTGACGGCTTCAGAAGCGTAGGCTCCCTCTCGGACGGATAGATTTAACCCCTTGTGGAAGATATCATCGGTGCTTCCTAAAGCCCCCTCGACAAAGTACAACTGCGCAGGCCAAGCAAACTCGGGGAATGGGCGTTTGAAGACCAAAGGGGGCAGGCACAGCAGGGCACGACATTTTCAAGTCTTAGAGCAGTCTTCTTGGCCTTGTTAAAAGGCTTGTCTAGGCAGGCTTCGCACTTTCATGGCTTAGGAGGCCTTCGGGCTGGGCGCGAGAGGATGTTTCAAGACCCACGCGGAATTTCATATGCGAAAGCTTTCCGCTGCTGTGCCCAAAGCGCCGTGCACTCCCATGCCAGCGTACCTGTAGACTTTTCACCTGTAGTAGTGCAGCTAAGCCAGCTAAGCTATGGCCACAAGAGCAAGGCACTCCGAGTACCACTTGCCAGATTCCACTGTGAGAAGGAATGATTCCTTCGAGTGCCGGCAGCCACCGTTGCACTCTGAATTGCAAATGCTCCTGCGCAAATCCCACGGCTGTGTCATTGTTGTCAATTCCAACCTCGTCATTGCAGCACGGGTGATTGGCAGGGTACTGTAACCCTCATGATGGAAGAGGCATGCAAAGGCGACACGGTGACGCTACGAATACGCAAAGACTTCTCTAGGCCGACGGCCGTGATGTGGCCGGTTCCGAAGTAGCTACCACCAGGCACCTGCGCACAGCTGGAGGAAGCTGCCGCAAACGACAAGCTCCGACATGTGATTGCATGGAAAGAGCGAGGCACCCAGCCCTTGCATGTGTCATCCTGCAGCAGACGTCCTCGTCGCAGACTGTACGAATATGACTCATCCTAGCTGGGCCTTCTCCGACACGGTGTTGTTGTATGCCTGAACCGCTCAGCAGCAAGTGCAATGAGTCCAAAATTCGGATGGGATGCGATCCGTGCCACCTCCCCCTGGGTCCCTCGCACTAGAACTATGACTATGACAACTGCAGCATCTGAGCTTGCATCCAAGCGACTCCGGGTCCTGGTGTCGGCAGCGATGGCGCCATGCGCGATTTGTGCGCTCCAGGAATTTCGGGCTCCTGCGTTCAAAGGCTAAGGTCTCCGAAACTTCGACCCTGATTCTATCTCGGTTCCAGTTCACTAGTCCCGAAAAGACAATACGAGCTTCGATGAACTCTGGTAATTATGGGAGAGGTCTGCCCGTTTAGTTAAAACTAGCATTGAGGAAACTTGTGAGGTGGATTCTGATGCAGGCCAGTGCATGTCTAAACCGGTGACAGCGCCCGCAAGGCTAGCGATTTCTTGGTTGAGGAGGCCCCATGGTAACAGCAGACAACACCCCCACCCCCACCGCCTGTCATGTTCACTCCTTCTTGCTACTCGGCCGAAGTCATTCGGGCGAGGCTGACCAAAATAACAAACACTTCAAAAATCTGCATGGTCCTGAACACTGCTGATGGTTGAGCTCATCGTGCCGGCTTTGCCGCCCGTAGAACGCCTGGCAATCTGGAACTTCCACGTGAGTCTTGTGGCGCTTCTTGCCGTCAGGCTGCAAGCATTTGTGCAAAGCTGCGTGGATCAAGATGGCCAAAGCTCCCAAGGTGGCCTGGTGAGCAGGTTCGGAAGGCTGCCTGCCTCGGTTATGCAGGCAAGACAAGTACTACCAGAGGGTGAAGTGATGCGAGCATGCTTCAGGCGGCACGGAGCCCTCGAATGAATTTGAACCCCGCAACATGCACCATCAATTCGCAAGGCTTACTTCGAATCATCCAGCCTGCGGAGATGCTTCCCGATACCAGAATCACAGAAAGCTCGGACGTTGCCCGCTGAGCTACACCCGTGAAGATCAAACGAGACTGCCCGAAATCCGGGATCCTCGTCTGGCTCCTCGGAGATATTGACAAAATCTGAATCCATTTCTTTGATTACGCAGTAACCAACCTAAAACCATCCGACACACCAACTCATCACACTTTGGACCCGGCCCGGCGCCGGGAGACAATGGCACCCTCCGTTGTAGAGGTCTTCCGGGGCGCGTTGTCCGCTGCCTGCCGAGGGTTTGGAAGCTGTCGGAGGGCCTCAAGGAGTCGAACTGACGTGTGGCCTGAAAAAGGTTTTTTTGACGCATTTTCTCAGGTGTTTGCTTTGTGGAAGGTCAGCGTTCTCTGTCTCTGTTCGGGCCGAGGTTATGATCTGAAACTGAGCTTCATCAATACTGGAAGTAGCACAGAAACATTCTCCGCATGGTTGGGTCTAGGAGCATGCTGCTATGACACTACTACTGAGCTTCTGCTACCAATACTAGTCGTGCCACAGTATTTCTCCACCACCAGAACTGGCCGCCCATCTTGCTCAAACAATTTCTGAAGGATAGCTTGCTGGGTGGGTCGAGGGCCACTCGGCAATGAGCCGCGCAATCACTCTGCTACGAATTTCAATTTGTGAATGAGGTCCCTCACTGCCTGCCTCTGACCGAAAAAACCCCGTTCCCTTCAGCATGTGTCAGCTGTGGTCTACTCTGTCTGCCTTCTTCCTCGGCACAATCGCTTCTTTCACCGGTGCACAGACTTCCTTGCACAGTGCAGCGAGCAGAATCGACAAAAAAGCACTGGTCCTCAAATATGGAAAACAACACCACCTGACAACATCATTCCAAAGCTTTTGTACCGCCGGAAAGCACACATCGGCACACACACACACACAAGGCTGTCCTCAACAACAGCCTTTTGGGGCTGGACCGGCTGGATGGTCTGTTCGAGCTGTTCAGCCTGTTGGAAGCGCCATTAGCTGGCCCCTCGTGCGCAACCTTGGTGTCGGCCTCAACATGCCACAGCAAACAGCCCCGCCTGCTCTGCAGGGGGAGCTGGGGCAGGCGGAGCCTTGCGTGTTAGCTTGCGAAAGCATGGCAACAGCTTCAGAAATTCAACTGGCAGAGACGGTCTTGGGTACGTCTGCAAGCTTCCGAAGCCGTCTGAGTCTGTCGCCGGCTCTTCTTGCTTAGGTTCAAGAAGCTGGACGCCCATGAAGTCTTTGCAGCATTTCACGAACCTAGGCTCACTTTAGGATCTCAACCCGCTCTTCTGACTTGGCTCTCGTAGAGCTCTGCCGCGCAGTCACGAAAAACCCTCAGGCCGCGGCTCGCCGAAAGACAACTGCAACAGAACGGCTTGGACATGTCTTGTATCGTGCAGATGTGCCGGGCGGGCGTGTGTCATGATTCCTACCTTCCCGTCGCCGTCGCCGTCGACCTTTTGGAAGATCTGCTCAGCCTAGGCTTCGGCAATGGTGCATGCGTGTGCGAGAAGCATCGAAACAAGTAGCGAGAAAGGGCAGAATCTGTAACCAGCGCTAAGCTCGCAACAACTGCAGATGCTGCAGCACTTGCGGTTTAGCTGATGCTGGGCCTCTGGCCTTTCCTCGTGTCATGTCGCAGTCGTCCTCGGAGATCCACTCGTAGAACTCCTCCTGTTGCCGCTCGCCACACGAAGCTGTGACTATGAACGGCCCTCTTATAGATGTGCAGGTCAATGCTGGGGAGCCCAAAAAATTTCTGGTCGCACAACTCAAGGAAGGATCTTCAAAGGGCCACGGCTCTGCCGAATGCAGAAAGATCCAAACGAGGAGCGGCGTTGGGGCTCGGGCCCATTCCAAAAGTCCATCTTTGTTGGAATCGAGCCCCCTGGCTCAGAGCCGCATCGATTTACTCTCGTGAAGGTAGTTGTAAGAGCAGGATCGGGCGCCTGAATCGGCTGTAGAGCGCCTCGACATGTAGTCAGCAGATATACCGACAATCCATTGGCATGGTTTTAGCTTCTTGCTTTCAGAGTCGTCTCAATTCGACGGCAAAACCACAGCAGCCGCTTGGCTAGTACTTGCAACTGAGCCCTTCGCACTTGCAGACATGCTGACTGTCATGCAGCTCTCCTGGCCAGCAAAAGCAGGGGTTCGCAGCAAGATTGGTGCGAATGAAGCTGACCCTCAGCAGCGCTACCGTACGAAATCTGTTCGGGACCGGTGAAATCTACCAATGCGGCTCAGCTCAATCTGGAGGCAGCTGAAGCATGTTACATCTCAGCTCCGGTGCCTCTCTGCGTCTCCCACCCTCAGTTCTCTGTTTGAGCCAAATGCTGCGGTCATGGGGAGGAGCTCCGTCATGTGTACTGAAAGTCCATGCGAACCGATGCTCCCAAACAGTGCTGAAGATCAGGGCAGCGGCTTTGTCACTGGTTACGGCCAGTGCTCGACCCCAGTCCCCTCTAGACCTCTGCTTCGCAGTGTCTACAGTCGTCGCAAGGTGCGTCTCAGCTCATGTGGCAGCCTTGGCAATAAACCCAAAACAGTTTGTGTTGTTTTATCTGCTTAATCACCTACACCTCATCTCAACCTCCCGGGTTTGTCTGGATGGGGCAACTCGTCGCTCTGCCGCCTACAGCCCTCTTAGTCTCAGGCTGCTAGTAGGACTTTCAGACCCAGCACGACCCCACAGAACTGCAGTCTCGCTGCTCTTGGGAGAGTGAACAGGGTCCTTTCCTGCCTGGGGCTACGTTCATGTCTACTACGGCCCTGAATCGCGCACGGCGCACGGTGCCCGCCATGCCGAACGGTATCTTTAAGCCTAATATTTAGATGGCATCCATGACATTCATGCGTCAGGGTGTTTTGCAATGTGGGGGGAGGTGGAATTTGGGTTCCGAGTTCAAGCTCTGCCGGGTCGCATGATCCAAAGTCGCCGCGCAGCGCCGCCCGCTGTGATGTTGGTCTCGTTCGGAGCTTCCCATTCTTGCAGGGCACGGATGAGCTATTACCCCGTGGCCCTTTACAGTAAATGCCGGTCAAACGGTCAAGCCTGCTCGCGAAGTGCTAGGGTCAATCGCAAGCACATGCTGACAGGCTACAGGTTTGGGTTGTGGCCTTCCCTGCGTGGGTTTCGGTTGGACAAGTGAGGCCTTCCCAAGGACCTGCGTCTTCGCCGCCAGTTTTGTTGGTCAAGAAGAACAGCACCAGCACAGAACACATGATGGACCTGAGAGGAGAATGAGCCAACGACACTGGCATGAAATTAGGATAGACCAGGTATGGCGCTTTCAAATCATTCCTTCGGTCATACCGCTGGCCCTGCTAGACGTCGGTGCTCAATGTTTCTCAGGCTGGCACGCGCAAGTGCAGCAGCAAATGGCCACGTATTCAATCCAGCGCTTTATCTGACAGGGGATGTAGGGCTTTGCTAAAGCACAGCAGCAGGCTGTGGCGCTGCTGTACCTACTAGCCTGTCCTCGCAATGTGCTACAATTAGTACGTATGCTATCGACTCTCGACTAGACTGCTGAGCATACACGATCGAAGTTAACTCTTCAAAACACTGTATGAAGGCTGTTTGCGCTTCTGCTGTGTGGTGGGGATCTTGTTGAGGAGAGCTGCGCCTTCACGCAGGTGATTGCAGCCTCTGCGCCCGGGGCCAAGCAAGCAACAAGCAGCAAGAGGAAGAGGCCCACATACTGCTTCCGGCGCCTCGGCGCGAAGAGCTACACGGCTCTTACGCGGGACTATATCGGCAACAACACTGCGCTGATCACTTTCAAGGGCCGGACAACATCTCTGCCATTGGGGTTTTCCGACTGCCCAGTGACCTGTGCAATACAGGTCGTCATGAGCCTGCAAGCATTCTCAGTTTACCTTCGCATGCCTGCCCGCCTGCTGTCACGGGAAGCAACCGGTCCTTAAACTACTATCATTGCCCCACTTCGACTTCAGCTTGAGCAAAACACGTCATAAGCATTGCATCAAGCGAACGAATGCGCCGTGTATTGCAACTCACTGCATGGATCGTGTGCTTGTTGTCTCCGCTCCAGATCTATACACTTCAAGCTACTTCTTGAAGAATCACTGCCTTTTCGTTTTGAGCAGTGCTTCCAAAGCTTTTGCAGCGTCCATTGGCCATGGGATGCTGGACGTCGAAGCTGACAGCATCCTTCCTGTGACTTGAAGACGACCTGATGATGCCAGCATGCAGCAAAGCTCTCGCTTGCAGGAACCTTGTGTGAGTCTTCTGCTGCTTCATGGACGGTGCGCTTCATTCTTGAGCTCTCTGACAATTATTTTGAAGCCTAGCGCAAAAAACCTGGAGTCTCCTTCTTGAGTATCTGCCAAGAACGAAACAGTTACCAACAAGCCCAGAAAACGAACAGCCTCGCTACCAACTCTCTTCATGCCGGGTCACGACGACCACGCTGCCTGGCCGCGGCTGCAGCATTCGCTCCGAAGCTTCGTTCTCCATAAGATCCTGGTCCGTGCGGAACTGAGCCTCGGCATGACCATGAGAAGCCAAGGAGCTTAAGTTTGGCGCCATCTTTATTCGGGTGCATCTCTGCATGGGAGGAGCATCTGCTTCAGCACCAGGATGGGCATACACCAAACCGGCTTGAAACCTATCAGTTCACGATAATTCCAAAACTCAGTCCAAAGAGATGCACTGAACAATGCGTTGCTCGTGAAACTTCTGGGGTTACCGAGGCTGGGGTTAGCGTTTAAGGCTGGATCAGCATTTCACAGTGAGTATCTTCAATCCGGACACTTCGGCTTCAGGAAAAATAATCTCGCCGCCAGTTGTGGGAGAAAGCCACGCAGTGAGCCGGACTGCAACCTCGACGCCAGCCCCTCGACTGCTGCGAAGTCCCCGAGACTCTGCCTCTTCCCAAACGAGCGCAGCTTCTACCTCTGCTGTTTCAGTCATGTCGAACACGAGACCATCTATTGCCACTTCTCCTGTGCACCTGGCCATCACAGATCGCAATCGCGTCTCCACGGCCCCGGGCACGCGGCAGTGGGTAGGGAGCGGAACAGCTGTGGCTGGCTGTCGTTTTGCAGTAGGCTGCTGGAAGCAAAGCGCCATGGCGACCAGCTTTTCGCAGTCCTCCGCCGAGAGGATCTCTGAAAAGTAGAAGATGTCACAGGTCTTCCCACCGATGAAAGCTTCATTTGTTTCTGACGGAAACGACCATGCTTCCTGGCATGCCGGGGAAGGTCCAAAGAACAGGCAAACCCTTCATGTTCAAGCCTCTGTACCGTTCGAACTCGTGGCCGCCAAACGAAGCACACATTGCGGATCGAGTGCGCTCCCTACCTCAGTCTCGAAGCAACTCTGCACTCTAGAGCCTTTCTGAACGGCATGAAGCTGACGAAAAACGCCACGAAAACTTAACATGGCATTAAGAGCAGCTTCCCAAGCTATTCCACCAAGTAGCAGCTGACTCCTGTCCTTCCAGCCAGTCTCCAAGCTTTCCCGATGGCGCCAACCGGAGAGGGACCTGTCATTCCGCGTATGCTGCTAATACGGACAAGTTGTATGTATGTGTCTATTTACAGTTTCATATCCCATCTGTGCATGTGTATATAATATATGTATATATATGTATATGTATATGACTGTTCACGAGGGGCTCCTGCTAGTACCACCGCCACCACAGCATCACGACGACGAATGCACACTACTCCACGCACTGCATGTTGCCAACTACAGGCTCCAAATCGAGGCGCCCATTGATCCGATACCCTTCCACTTGTCGAAGTTTCATTTGACGCACAAGCATTCCGGCCTCCGGTCTCGACCAGCCTCTTGCTGGGCCGGCGAGGCAGCGTGCCTCTTCAGGATCAGGAAAGCTACAGTAGCATCCCACTCCCGGACTCGTGCAAAAGCAGCCGTCCTTGAGGATCTGCCCCGGCCAGGAGCCTTCGTACCTTCTCTCCAGTCGTACAGTACTTCACAACGCCGCGACAACGAGACCCCAGCTCGGCTCGGGCAAGCAGAGATCTCACGCTCAGCGGTTCTTCTCACACATTGTGGTTGGGCCTGTGGGGCATTTAGAAAAGGAGCTGGAGGATGCTGGTTTTTATCGCTGACACAAGGACAGCTTTCTCCGTGTCGCGCGGCAACTTAAACTGCAGGAGTGGGACTTGTGCAAATACCAGCCCTGAGATCTGAAGGAGCATGTGCTACTGAAAGGCCTACTGCGCTACTTCAACCATGGCTTCTTGGGGCACCAGCAGACCGCCTCGGCGAGCACCTGAGGTTTTGGCTGCAGGAATTCTGGCAGACAGCCAGGCTGTCATGTATCGGAAGACTCGCAAGAACAATGCGAATTCTCACGACTTTCGGGAAGCAAACTTAGGCAGCCAGCTAAGCAAGGTCCCGAAGGCGAGCTACGCAGCAGACTCTTCATCTCTTGGACATGCTCGTCTCCAAACACCCCGTCCAGGATAGATTACTGTTGTAATTGCTTCCCCTTCAAGTTTTGTCTCCACCGGAGGCGCTTAAGCATCAATCCATTTCGCCACGGCTCCGCATATCGGCCTAGCGCACTGCGGCAAACGACCGGTGCAAAGCCTGACCAGTGGGGCTCACGTGTTGGCGAACGCTCCTTTTAGAATTCTGAGGATCCGGTAACCAGAACAAAACACCACCCCCACCACCACCATCACCAGCACCACAAATAGCCACAACGATAGTGACAGCAGCAGCAGCAAGACGAATATGTACAACAACAAGAAAAGCAGCAACGCCGCAAAAACAACAATGATCATAATAAACGATGAAGAAGTAGAACAACAAGAGAAACAACAAAACCGCGAAAACCACAACCACTACCCCTACGACCACACTACTTCTGCTGCTGCAACTGCCACCACTACGACCACTACTAACTACTACAGTACTACTACCACTTCTACCACTTCTACTACTACTACTACTACTACTACTACTACTACTACTACTACTACTACTACTACTACTACGACTACTACGATTACTACGACTACTACGACTACTACGACTACGACTACGACTACGACTACTACTACTACTACTGCTGCTACTACTACTACTACTACTACTACTATGGCTGCGCTAACTACGACTACGACAACGACGACAGCGACGGCGACGATGGCGACGACGAAGACAGCGACGACAAGGACGACAACGACCAACGACGACAACAACGACAGCAACAACAACAACAACAACAACAACAACCACAACCACAACCACAACCACGACCACGACCACGACCACGACCACCCCCAACCCCAACCCCAACCACGACGACAACAACAGCAACAACCACGAACCACGACGGCAACAACAACAATGATGACGACAACAACAACCACCACAACACCACAACCCACAACACCACAACACCACACCACCACCACCATCACCACCACCAACAACAACAACGACGACGATAGCAACTCCTACCCCTACCCCTGCCCGTACCCCTACTCCTACTATCCGCTACTGCTACTCCTACTTCCTACTGCTACCGCTACTGCTACTGCTGCTCCTGTTCCTGCTCCTGCTGTTGCGACTGCTCCGGCTCCTACTCCTGCTGCTACTCCTGCTGAAGCAGCAGCAACAAGACAACAGACAGAACTAATCTTCGTGCCGTTGTCGCACGGGAGGTACTTCCAAGCATGCTCACATGCTGAAAACAATGGCAGGGGCGATAGATTCATAGGTGAGGGATTTTGAGGGCTAGAACAGGGCAGCTAAGAACTCGGAAGTATTTTTTGCTCCGCAGCAACAACATCACCGTCACCATCGTCAGCCTCATCATCATCATCATCACCACCACAATCATCAACATATTTAACCATCGCCATCATCATTATCATCACTGTCGACACATCGACACCATTATCACCGTCACTGTCGAATCATGCGCAATTTATTCATCCTTGTTTATTACCGATTCGAAGTCGCTGATGCAAAGTTTTTAAGAGTCGCAGCATTGAAAGGGCCCTGTCGAGAAGCCCGAAGACGACGTTCACTATGTATATACGGATACATAGAGTTATGGCAACGACAACATGATTCAGAACATGGCTTGCAACATACAAGCAGCACCTTGAAGGACCGTAGCACCCAAAAAAGGCCAGCCGCTGAAACAAGGAATGTCCAAATTTCCAAATTCCCGGCAGAGAATATCTGAAGACATCGAAACAGGGAAACCTCGTCCAATCCGAGTCCAACAGCTGAAAAGTGAAGAAGAACCCACGGGCGCGACGGCACGCCGTCCAAATACTGGTACTATAAATATAGTACTAGCACGTGTTCCAGTACTAGTCCTACCTACTACTGTACTGCGATGACGACGACGACGATGGCTGCTCCCATACCCCATAAGCCCAAAGTGTGATGTCGAACGCAAGCTTGAGAAGCAGCTAGGCATTCGCCGTAAGCACAAGAGCATGGACAGCAATGATGCTGGAAAAGAAAAACGCCAACATGCATTCATTCTGAGAGTGATGCGTTGAGAAGCGGGCTACTGTCACTTCCTGTAGAGAACACACACAGTAGAGTGCGAGTTCAGATGCAACACATCACACTTCTGCCTGCGACTTCGGAAGGTAGGGCGCCACAGCTAGATTCAATGTGCAGTAGTACTGCTTGTTCTCTGGTGTGCTTCTCACGCCCCGTAACCGTATCCGCCTTCAATCTGCGCTGCCCTTTTCGCCGTTGTACCGGTGGATGTCACCTCAGTGCGCGGCTTGGTAACTCGCTGCTGGAAGAGGCCCAGCACCACGCCAGTCCAGACAGGTCTTTACCGACTCGCGCATGCTAGCCCGGATTTGGGAGCCTTTGGGCGGCCCCTGAAGCATTGAGCTACCAACAGTTAGTTACTTAGCTTTGTGAGTATATGTTCATCGGCACGACAAGAGCCGATGCCCGCGAACATGATTTCGATGCCATGTCGCCCAGATCTCATCATGCTCTGACAGCCTGCAAGAACAGCATAACACAAACCGGAGGGTCGGCTGGCCTAATCCACTGGAGTGAAGCTCTCATCCGCTCACGGTCATAGACGGGGCCTGAGGAGTGCAGGGCCGCCAGCCCTGGCCACCACGGATTCCAACAACGCCCTCAGCTGACCGACGTCGCTGCGTGGCACCTCCGGCGATCAGAAGAGCTGGCAGTTCCAGCAACCACACTGGAGGAATGTGCGGCTGCAAAAGAATCAGCAGCAGCATGTAGCAGCTGGAAAAGCAAAAAAGTCGCAGAAGCTGCAGCCGAAGCAGTAGCATTACAATGACAAATATTCTTAAAACGAGCTGGGTGGGTGTGCACGGAATACGTGTGCAGCGTCATTGCCAATATCTTGATGGTGTTGTTGAAAGATCATGCAGCCGATCAACCGGCACTGCAGTCATCACCACGATGGTCATGACTACTATATTATATCTTCGCAACAGATTACAACCATCGTCATTCTCACCTTGTTCCTCATCTTCATAATCACCATATCATCATCACCATCACCATCACCGGCATGATAGTCACCGATGTGTAACTGCGTAGCGAGCAATATCAACATGAACGGCATGAGTAACCCTTTGCGACGAGATTTGTACTCGGCCTCAAACCCACATAAAGCCACCAAACCTCGCAACAACATCCTCAATCCCTGCACAGTGTCCTTGAAAGGACGGCTGCTAAGAGATGCATTGCGTGCAAACGGAGGCATTGTCGTGCCGTAGTGTAAGTCGGCGCTTGCCGCAAGCTCCCTGCGAAGTCCGGAACCCCTCCTTTGCATGCCACGTAGCCACATCGGCCGGAGACGCTGCACATCGGCTCCAACAAGTGAGACATGCCTTCATGGGGTGGTCTTTGGTTCTGCTATTCATTGCCACTTCTTTCCTCACAGCTTCGGGGTCAAAAACGTGCTGATGTGAGATGTGCGTACAGTATTAATTAAGTACACCTTGCATGCTGCAGCACATAATCTCAATCTGGCACTACACGGGTTCGCACATGCACGAAAGCTTGCAAGTTGGCACAGTACGGACAACCACGTTGATTCCACCAGCCAAACCTTACACGGTTCACAGTTCGAAACAACTGAACTGCTGGTTATCAGCTCCAAACACAAGGGCTGATTTATTCCATAAGTCACATCTCCCGTATGGTTGTTACATGCTAGTATGTCTTGTTTCTCAGCCCCTCTTCAGCTGATTATGCTCCCCGCCTCGCAAACGGCGCAGCCTGGCGGCGTCGGTCCAGAGGCTTTGTTGACAGCCACCTCCACCAAAACGTTGGAGAGTTTGTCATCAGGTTGCCTGCATCCCAGCCTCAAGTTGCCTGACATGGTAGCTCACAACATCTCGAAACACTCATACTTACCGCCAAGTTGCTGTCTATCCCGGTTCAGCGGCTCCGAAAGAAGGGGAGTAACACTTCTCTGAGCTGTTGCTGGGGTGGGAACATGTGGACGAACATGTGCAATCAGTCTTCACGGGTAGAAGGGTGTGAGTTGTTATGCCCGAGGCTTCATTTAGACTCGACATCTCAAGGCAACCACGCCCACATCGCACTGCCTGTAATCCGTTTCCCTCGCCGTTATGCAGCTGGCTCATGCCCATTGTTCCTCCAGAACGAAGTTCTTAAGTCACCCTTCTTGCATGCATCACTGTCTGTGTGTATGTGTGTGTCTGTGTTTGTCTCCGCCTCTGCCGAGAACCGGAATAAACAAACACGCACGAAGATCCACACATGCGCGCGAAGTGCGAGAGAGAAAAAGAGAGAGAGAGAGAGAGAGAGAGAGAGAGAGAGCGAAAAGTGAACAGCCAAGTGTTGCTCTCGCAGCATTCACTCAGCCTCGAGGTCGCTTATGCCCAGACCGCTGTGGAACTCGTTCAATACCTTCGGCTGCAAACAAAGGAATCTACAAGCAATGACCGAAATGCAGTTGGAGGACCAATGTCCGTGGCACTCGTATATAAGAATAAAATGTAATAAAACATAACATAGAGTAATAATGTAACATGGCATGGCATATTACAGTATAGTAACAGTATCATTAGAAGATCAGATAGCATTCTGTCGCATTTAACACAACATATTGCAACATCAACATGTGACGCGACGATACAGTATGATATATATATATATATATATATATATATATATATATATATATGTATATGTGTGTATATATATATATATATGCTACAGTATACTACACTATACTGTCCTATTATATGCCATACTTCCTTTACTGTACTATACTACGGTATGCTACACCTCAACGCAACTCAATATGCACTACAGTACCATTCAATAGATATAACACAATAATTACGTACTTATACATATATATATAGACATATATTTATGCGTACATACATACATAAACTTGACCTTGAGCAAGACTTTCTGCCCGTTGCAGTCCTCCGACTGCGCGTCTGAGGCGAAGCCCATTAAGAAGATGCTGTCGTCACATCCTCCCATGATTACGCCCACTTCCACGGGATTGACTCTTGGACTCTCTACTGCAGGTTTGCACAATTGTAGGTGGATCGGTGCTTTGACACCTAGACCTAACCAGGCCTTCGCTGTCTCCTGGAAGCTCGGCACACTCGTGCTTTGCGAGCGCCAGGCTTTCAGACTTCACGGAGACAACGGTGATAGCGGTAAGGCCCATGCCTGCGAGGAAGCAAATCGCAGCTGTTGGCACTCGCTTAAGGCATGGTATAGCTAGTATAGCTGGTATTGGCATTCGAGTGCCTTGGAGCTGTCCAGGCGCCGCCTCGAGCAGCTTGCACCGCTCCTGGTGCCACGGTCGACGGCCACAAGTGTCCCAGACTTGCTCTCGGTCTTTCGCGACTGTCTCAAAACTTCCGCTTCACAGATCCAGGATCGCACCTAGTCTCAATTGGCCCTGTGCCTTGCTGCCTCTGCATGTCTGTGAATCAAAGCGATGGCGCCACGTTTTTACGATTTGCTATCCGACGTTCAGTCATCGCACAAACACGCATTTGCGCATGTTTGCATGGCAGCCATTCGTCATAACTCTTGCTTACACCGGATGCCTCTGGGCAAAACTCTTGCCATGGCTTCATGTTCTCGTATCACACTACCCTTTCTCGTGTGGGCTTATCGTGACGCTCTTCCCGAAACCTTCCGAATGTGTCGACAGATGTGAGATCGCTACAGCTGGCAACGCTATGGGGGTTGGCAAAATGCTGGCGACATGTTGTGCTCACCCTGCTACTGATCCAATCGCTGCCGGATGTCGAAAGTCCGAAAGCCAATGTGCAAGCGGTGCTGCAGGGATGACTCGTTTGATCAACTGCAAGTCCGCGTTTTTCGTGCCAGACGGTGAATAGCTGGTCTGTCCTAGGTCGCTACTCTGATTGACAGATTGCGAAATAGTCTTCTGGTGTCAGCCTTAGACCCCCTGTACAGGGCAAAGCGCGAGCTGCAGCACTAGCTCCAGTTCTGCAGCTCTCAGCCATAGAGGTCGTCGTCATCGTCCGCAGCTGCGGCACTGGCTCCAATTCCCACGTCGTCCGGCCAGTTGATGACCACACCGCTGGTACCGCCACCTGCGGTTGAATTCATGTAGATCGGGTCGAACTTCTTCCTGAACTGGTCGTACTTTGCAAGGTCCGAGCCCGCGACCGACCGCCGTGCGCCGGCGAAGGCCTCCTCGAAGTGCTTGCGCCCGATCTCGGAGCCCATAGTTGTGTCCATGGCATCGTCGTCGCCTGCTCGCAGCTCATCAGCTGCAATGGCATCGCGCACCGCTGCCTTTGCAGCTCGTTGGCACAGCTCTGCCAGATCTGCTCCACTGAAGCCTTCAGTCTTCTGCGCGATGAAGGACAGCGGCACATTGGGCGCGATGGGCGACTTCTTGAGAGTAGCCTCCAGGATGCTTTGTCGTGCAGGCAAGTCGGGAAGCGGGATGTAGACAAGCTGATCAAGTCGGCCTGGACGAAGCAAAGCCTCATCTAACAGCTCGGGCCGGTTCGTGGCACCGATGAAGAATACGTTCTTCTTCGCACCGACGCCGTCGATCTCGGTCAGCAGCTGGTTCATGACACGATCGCCAGCACCTCCTGCATCTCCCTGGCTCGATCCACGGGCCGTGCCTACCGAATCCAGCTCGTCGAAGAAAAGAACACACGGTGCGGCTGCCCTTGCTTTATCAAAGACCTCTCGTACGTTGGCCTCAGACTCGCCGAACCACATGGTCAGAAGCTCCGGACCCTTGATGCTAACGAAATTGGCAGAGCACTCACTGGCGACTGCCTTGGCCAGAAGCGTCTTGCCGCAGCCTGGAGGCCCGTAGAACAGCACACCTCTAGAAGGCTGCATGCCGAACTTTTCGAACTTCTCCGGGTGGTCGATGGGATACAAGATCGTTTCCTGCAAAGACCGCTTGGTGTCCTCCAAGCCTCCGATGTCATCCCACTTGATGTTCGGGACTTCTACTACTGTCTCGCGCAGCGAGGAAGGATTCACTGTGCCCATTGCTGACTTGAAGTGCTCTTGAGACACTGCCATAGAGTCCAGCACCTCTGCATCGATGGTCTCCTCCTCCAAGTCGATGAGGTCCATCTTCTCACGGATGCACGTAAGCGCGGCTTCTGTGCAGAGCTGCGCCAGGTCTGCTCCGACAAAGCCGTGGGTGTTGGAGGCAACCTCCTCCAGCTTCACGTCGGTGCCCAACTTCATGTTCTTGGTGTGAATGCGCAGAATCTCCAGCCGGCCATTGTCGTCAGGCACTCCGATATCCAACTCGCGGTCAAATCGGCCGAAGCGGCGCAGTGCTGCATCAATGGAGTTGGGTCGGTTGGTGGCTGCAATCACCACCACCTGACCACGGCCCTTGATGCCGTCCATGAGGGTCAGCATCTGGGACACCACCCGCTTCTCCACTTCGCCGCTCGTCTTGTCTCGCTTCGGGGCAATGGAGTCGATCTCATCAATGAAGATGATGGCTGGCGAATTCTTCTCAGCCTCTTCGAAGGCCTTTCGGAGATTGGACTCTGCTTCGCCTGCCATCTTGGACATGATTTCTGGGCCGTTGATCAGAAAGAAGAAAGCTCCGGTCTCGTTGGCAATGGCCCGGGCGATGAGAGTCTTGCCACTCCCAGGAGGTCCATACAGCAACACTCCTCGCGGAGGCTTCACTCCCAGTGTCTTGAACAAAGTTGGATGGCGCAAAGGCAGCTCAATCATCTCACGGATTTGGCCCATGGCCTTCTTGCAGCCCCCGATGTCATCGTAGCCAACTTCGTCAAGGCGCTCCTCATCTTCACGCTTCACAGGCTCACCTTCACAGTGGATCACGGTGTCTGGCGCCACAATCACGAACTCGCCTGGGTCCACGCCCACCACTTTGAACTCCACCGGCCGGAAGCCTCCTCGCACAAGGAAAAGGTCGCCCTGACGTGCGGGCCTGTAAGCTTCGAGGAAGTATGGCTTCAGGTACGTGTCGAAGAGATTTCCTGTGATGCCTTCGATGGTGTCGTCTAGGGGCAGCACATGGATGCGCTTCCCATAGGGCACATCACCACAGGCATGAACCGAAATGATGTCGCCCAAGCGCACGCGCAGGTTCTTGCGGACGACCTTGTTCATGCGAATCTTGCTGTCGTCTAAGTTCTCATCAGCCAGGACGATGCACACCGTGTCCTTGCGCTTCTTGCCCTTGATCAACACATTGTCGCCGCGGAAGAGGTTCAGCTCCTCCATCTTCGCTTGCGACAAAGAGATTACCTCAGGAATTCGTCAGCACCAGACAAATTCTAACTGCACGATTCAACACCAGTCTCCGTTCGCCCACCTGCTTCTGGTAACTATAACATGACATCTGCAGCCAAGATTCCGAATTGTCATCGTTCAGCGCCTCCTCCACAACCAAACGATTAGGGGAGCGCTTCTTCTGAGGCTTCGCCGGGTCCGCCGGGACCGGCGCAGCGGGTGGCGCGGGTTCTTCCGCTGCCATTTTGGCCACTATGACACAAGTGTGCGATCTAGAAGTTTCGGAGACTTGACTTGGGAGCCTGGCGGTCTGAGCCACGAGGAGGCAAACGGCGTCTTTTTCGATCCAAGTTCATGTCCGGCTGATTGGCATAAATACATACATACGTACATACATACCGAATACATATAATACATTATATATACATATATGTATATGTATATGTGTATATATATATATATATATATACATATATATATATATATATATATATATGTAATATATGTAACGTACATACATGGACCATGGATGCATGTCCCACGAAGAATCAACTGTGTGATTTTGGCGGGTGGACGAGCCGTTTCAGGACTGTGGGGCAATCCGCAGGACCCTGGGCCTGAAATTGCCAAACGATCGCAGGTCCTTTGTTGCTGTCTCGTGTCTTCCACGTCTGTTCGGGTTCGGTGGAAATGTCTCGCCTTGGTTTGCCAGGCATCCCACGTTTCAGTTCCTTTGAAGATGCCGACTTGCAAAGACTCTGGTTGTGCCACAAGGCCGGAAGGAACAGGGTGGGACCCTGGCAAGCAAGCGGAAAATCACTACATCTGAGTTGTTCCAGAGAACGACACAAGCGTGTTTGTCACAAACGCGCCTGATCTCAAAATTTTCAACACATAGTCATGGTACACATGGCGGTTCTATATAGGTGTGATCGAATTGTGACGAACATATGTAGAACGTCTTAACCGTAGAGGTCGTCGTCATCGTCCGCAGCTGCGGCACTGGCTCCAATTCCCACGTCGTCCGGCCAGTTGATGACCACACCGCTGGTGCCGCCACCTGCGGTTGAATTCATGTAGATCGGGTCGAACTTCTTCCTGAACTGGTCGTACTTTGCAAGGTCCGAGCCGGCGACCGACCGCCGTGCGCCGGCGAAGGCCTCCTCGAAGTGCTTGCGCCCGATCTCGGAGCCCATAGTTGTGTCCATGGCATCGTCGTCGCCTGCTCGCAGCTCATCAGCTGCAATGGCATCGCGCACCGCTGCCTTTGCAGCTCGTTGGCACAGCTCTGCCAGATCTGCTCCACTGAAGCCTTCAGTCTTCTGCGCGATGAAAGACAGCGGCACATTGGGCGCGATGGGCGACTTCTTGAGAGTAGCCTCCAGGATGCTTTGTCGTGCAGGCAAGTCGGGAAGCGGGATGTAGACAAGCTGATCAAGTCGGCCTGGACGAAGCAAAGCCTCATCTAACAGCTCGGGCCGGTTCGTGGCACCGATGAAGAATACGTTCTTCTTCGCACCGACGCCGTCGATCTCGGTCAGCAGCTGGTTCATGACACGATCGCCAGCACCTCCTGCATCTCCCTGGCTCGATCCACGGGCCGTGCCTACCGAATCCAGCTCGTCGAAGAAAAGAACACACGGTGCGGCTGCCCTTGCTTTATCAAAGACCTCTCGTACGTTGGCCTCAGACTCGCCGAACCACATGGTCAGAAGCTCCGGACCCTTGATGCTAACGAAATTGGCAGAGCACTCACTGGCGACTGCCTTGGCCAGAAGCGTCTTGCCGCAGCCTGGAGGCCCATAGAACAGCACACCTCTAGAAGGCTGCATGCCGAACTTTTCGAACTTCTCCGGGTGGTCGATGGGATACAAGATCGTTTCCTGCAAAGACCGCTTGGTGTCCTCCAAGCCTCCGATGTCATCCCACTTGATGTTCGGGACTTCTACTACTGTCTCGCGCAGCGAGGAAGGATTCACTGTGCCCATTGCTGACTTGAAGTGCTCTTGAGACACTGCCATAGAGTCCAGCACCTCTGCATCGATGGTCTCCTCCTCCAAGTCGATGAGGTCCATCTTCTCACGGATGCACGTAAGCGCGGCTTCTGTGCAGAGCTGCGCCAGGTCTGCTCCGACAAAGCCGTGGGTGTTGGAGGCAACCTCCTCCAGCTTCACGTCGGTGCCCAACTTCATGTTCTTGGTGTGAATGCGCAGAATCTCCAGCCGGCCATTGTCGTCAGGCACTCCGATATCCAACTCGCGGTCAAATCGGCCGAAGCGGCGCAGTGCTGCATCAATGGAGTTGGGTCGGTTGGTGGCTGCAATCACCACCACCTGACCACGGCCCTTGA